AAATTTTTTTTTTTTTTTTTTTTTTAAAGTTGATTTTGTGGGTTTTTATCACTCGTGCAGGTTAATTAATGGTCTCTAATTTTAATTTTTGGAATTCCTTCGCTTTGTTTCCTCGCGAAATGGTGTGGATTTTGACTCTAATTTTAATTTTTGGAATCCTTTGCTTTGTTTCCCCGCGAAATGGTGTGGACCCAGCACCATTTCTCCACCTCGTTACATTCAGTTCGGGCCACTTCTTAGTGTTTAATTTTTTCAGTTAATTAATGAGTTGTTTCGTGTTTCAGGCGTGCATCGATGACAATTTGGAGATGGTGGAGTTCCTGGTCGAAAACGGGGCCGACATCAACCGAGGCGACAACGAGGGCTGGACCCCCCTCCACGCCACCGCCTCCTGTGGCTTTATCAGTATAGCAAAGTAAGCTCTTCTACTTCTTTCATCCTGTGGACTTGCGCCGCACAGTGGACCGAGCCAATAGGAGATGTCGGACAAAATTCGGGAACTTTGAACGCTTATAGCTCCGTTCGTACAAAACTTCGAGCTTCCAAAAGTTGTTCCATTGGTTTCCTCGTGAAATTCTCCCCGGAAAGCAGTGGCGTGGCGTGAATTGCGATATCTCGATTGTTATTCCATTTAAAACTATGGTAAAGAATCGATTATTAAGGTGTTCGCTCCGAACAACCTGTTTATCGATCCTTTTCCATAGGTTTAAATGGAATAACTATTGAGGTATCGCAATTCACGCCACGCCACTGTCTGAAAGTTCCCCTTGAAATTCCAAATGTGACGAAATTAACATCAAAATTTGTAGTCTTAATCAAAAATCTCATGTCCGACCTCTCTAATTGGCTTGATCCACTGTGCGGCGCAAGAATTTGGTGAGTACTTACTTTTAAGTCCAACCACCTTTTTGAAGAACAGACTCATTCGAGAATTTTAAAAGGAACCCCATTCAAAATTTGCAAAAAAAATGAACGTTTTTCCTAGAAGGGGGGGGGGGTAACGCTAAAATCATCTCTTGCCACATTCAGACATTCTGACAGGAGGGTATATTTTTTCTCAGCTGAGGCGTTGGGTGCTAAAAGGGCATTTCTTGGTTGCGGTGTTCTGGAATCTTCACTGCTAATTGATATTTTAGAGAGGAAGCTACTGGGTTAATTTTCTGAAATTTTTCGGTTTCAGCGTTGTAAAATCATAAAGAAAATTCAGTGAAAGTTTCCACAAATTCCATAAATTTGTTTGAATTATAATAAATGAATCGTAAGTGGAGATTTGGAGACACCGCAACCAAGAAATGCCTGTTCTGCATCCTGCGCTTCAGTTACAGTTGAGAAATTTCACTTGAAACTTTTGAGAAAACAAAATTTTAATTATTTTTAATTATTTTTTTGAAAATAATAAAGCTTATTTATCGTAAGCTCTCAAAGTTTTCTGAAGCTTTTGGTATACCTAACTTGCAATTACGCTTTCTTCAATCAACATAGAAGTGCTCATTTCATTTTAAAATTTCATTTTTAAGGTACTTGATTGAACATGGTGCAAATGTAGCAGCTGTAAATAATGATGGGGATTTACCATCTGACATTGCTGAGTCTAGCGAACTGGAAGAACTTCTTGAACAGCACATTGAAGATCAAGGTATTATCATTTTTCAAAATCAAGTTTTTATTTCAGTGTATTTTTCTAAATTATTTTTGGACAGTTCTAACTGACTGGTAATATCTTAGTTCCCACTGGCTAGTAGAAAAAACTATTCAGAAGACATGGACCTAGTAGAAAATGTTGTGTTTTTTTTGGGCCAGGGTGTAGCATCTGTCCTTTCATCAACACCCCAAAAGATAATTGGATTGTTATCGTCCAAGAAAGCAACTGATTGTATAAAATTTGAGAAAAGTTATAGGTGTCTAACCGTTTATTTTGTTGCCTCCGCCTTTATTTCTGATAATGGAATGTCCAAACATTTCTGCTTGAAGGTTATTTTTATGAAAAAGTTTGATTTGCATCATAATTATGTTCCCAATGAATTTGTAACAGGCATTGATAGAGATGACGCTCGAGCAGAAGAAAGGCATTTAATGTTGGCAGATGCCGAAAAATGGCTCAAAAGTGGCAAAATTATGGACGAACCGCATCCTAAGACTGGAGCCACTGCCTTACATGTTGCTGCTGCCAAAGGATACTTAGACGTCATGGTGTAAGTATTATGAGCCATTTACTTCAATTTGAAGTGTATCATTTTAATTTTGCACTTTACTCATGGTAAACTTCCGAAGAAACATCCATACACTGTTAAAAGAATTGTTACAGAGCCTTTTTCTTACCGATTTTCCAAATTGTTGATGCTTTTACACTATGGTTGTTTTGAGCAACTGCTCATCGTCAGGTGTTTTCAAAAGTTTCTCAAAAAACTAAAACTATGATACGCTTTTGCAATTGCGAGTAGTTATTAGTTTTTTTAGAATTTTTTTTGAACACCTGACGAGCAGTAGCTGAAAATGGCCGCAGTGTAAAAGCATTAACCATTTGGAAAATTGGTAAGAGAAAGGTTATATAACAATTTAATGATTATGAAAGGATAAAGGTAATGAAAGAAGTGACTGTTAGAAGGGTTGGTTTTTCATAATAATGATTAATTTCTGTATTGAAACAATAAAAAGAGTAGGCCCAGACAGGCTTAAAATATTTCAAATCAGCAACCAAACGTATTAACCTAGGACCAGTTATTGCAAATGCATCTGATGAATATCATTACAAGAAAGCATGTACTTTCCTTGCTTTCAATTTAATTTTCATTTGAAACCAATATACTTTTCTGCCCTCAGTGTCTTTACAGGGACAGTGGCAAAATTCTTCGATCCAAAACATTTTCTCTTAATTCATGAGAGACCCTGCTATTGAATGTACTTCTCAAAAAACGTTCTTTTCTATGAGACCCATAACTTCCTCTGTGCCCTCAGGATCCCCATATCGACGTTGTAAGTCGGCAATCACACAACTCGGTTTGCAACGTCGCAGACTTCCTGTCATACTTTATTTTTTAAACGGAAAACTATTCAACGGAACTTCTTCAAAACTGCCGTGTTCTCTGTGCGAAGAAAATTCTGCATAAACTTCAAGGAATGATGTCAATTTGTTCTCCTTTAAAAAAATAACATAGAGGTGGAAATTTCCAGACACCGCAAACGAGTTATGTGATTGCCGACTTACACCGTCGATATAGATTTATAAGTATCTTTGTGCTGTCAAAATATGGATTTCCTCAGCAAAAGCACCTTGACATGCTATGCATTATCGGAAATTTGACTCATGGTGCTATTGTTTTGTTTGACGGAGTATCCATGACTGTAACCACGTGTATGTAGAGAGTGAAGACTGTCATGATTCGGTAGTTTTTGAAGATTTCATGTCCAGGAAATCAAAAAAGTGTTTTGCCCAGAATTCTCACTGCTTTCTTCTGTGTTAGTAAAAAAGTATGTGTTTATGTTTCAGAGTACTATTAAGAGGGGGTGCTGATGTGAATGCTCAAGACTTTGATGGCTGGACACCACTGCATGCAGCAGCCCATTGGTGTCAACATGATGCTTGTGAACTTTTAGTGAAATATTTCTGTGATATTGACCTTAAAAATTATGTTGTAAGTACAAATGCCGTTTATGGATTATCTTTAACTCTGCATTTCAGAATGTCAAATAGAAGAAGCCCACCCTCTGAAGTAAAAAGAACTTTTTTGAGGAGCATTACCATAAGGTACCTAAATGTCTTTGAGCTCTAATTTTGAAGCTGAGTAAAGTGCATGTCATTCAGTTTCCAAGGAGAGCCCTGCAGCCAAAAATATGAATTTTCTTGGCACTTTAATGGTACTGTATGAATGTTCCTAAACTGAGGAGTTGACCTTGTTTGAAACTAGCAAAATTCGGGCCTATTTTTTGTGTGTTAAATTAAGTAATAAAATAAATAAATGCACATGACCCTCAAAACTATTTTCCTGCAATAAAATGGAACCCCATTTTTCCACATCGAACAGTTCTCCAAGCAAAGCATTAATTTGCAAGAAAATCTTTTGCAAGTGATTCATTCGTATTTGTTGCCATGAAGACAAGGAAAATTATCACCTCTAGTAAGTGTGGATAACTTTAATGTAAAATACATATGCTCATACCTTCACATGGAATTTTTTTTCAGGGGCAAACTGCCTTAGATGTAGCTGACTCTGAAACTGTTAAATTATTAGAAGAATTAAGAAAGAAGCAATTGTTGATGCAGCGTGATAAACAAGACATCAACAAATTTATCAATAGGCGTTCTGCCACATCACCAAAAAGAAGGTATCATCTTCCAAAATTTTACTGGATTCAACATCATCACATAATAAAGAGAATTCTTGAATGCTATTAAAGCTTTCAGGACAAAGAGTTCAGAAACTGAAGAAAGTGCCACACACACGCTAGTTTCTACACAGATTATTTAGCAACTCATTTAGCAAAGCAGAATGATCATTTCATCAAATTTCCAGCTTGCAATGGAGAAGAAGAAAAATAATCTTATTTGCTACTCTCAAATCAATATTGAATAGTTCCCTAAGTTCTCACCCGAAGTTTTCGTAACAATTCTTTCTTATAGGAGTGCAGAAAATTACAAGCCTCCCCCATATTTTCGCTTTCCCCCGTCTGCTACATAAATTTACAATTACTTCTCCCCTGTCGGTAGACTAAAGAGAGGAAAAAAAACAAAATCTTCTCTCCGCAAAAAATTAGATTTCGTCACTTAAAATGTTGTTAAAACGAAAATGTCACACAAATTTGACATACTCCCCCCCGCCCACCTTTTTCACTATCCCTTTCGGGGTCTCCCCTATTAAACGTCTCCAGTATGAGACTGATCTATACGAAAGATCGACAAGTTCCTGCTGCCCTTACTTGTATGTGGTATCACAGATATTAAACTCCTATTTCAAATAAATCCTTAGAAATGAATATTTCAAAATATATTTATGATGAGGTATGAGAAATTGAGCCGAGTGTTCCATCAAGATTATTATTTTTTCTTCTCTCTTGTATTTTAAATATTTTATCAAAACTAGAGGTGTGTGAGTAAGAGATTTTCCCTTTTGAGGGTGGTGAAGCTGAAAACAGAAAAGAAAGGTATCATTTAGAATATTAAAAAATTGAACAAAAAAGAAAATAAACATGAAGTGCTTTTTGTTCATGTTTAATAATGTAATATTTTTCAACCTTAAAATCTGGTAGAACAATCTTTTGAATAAGTTGAAAGAAGCTTTAAAATCTTTACATCCTATCTTTTATTAAAACTGATAGAGTTGTTGTATGAAGTGTTGTGCTTGTGTCAGCTCTGTTGCTTGCAAGTTTTTGTCAGTTTTGAGCATATTCTTTTCTTGCACTGTTTTTGCTATCTATAATTTTGCCATCTCTTTGATCCTCTTCCTCTTTCATCAACATCAACATGGTATTTGAAGAATTCATGTTTGGTGTTCTTAAGAACAGCACTAACACATTATGTGCTGATTTTGTTTATGTATTTACTCCTGAGGTACAAAATAAACCCATTAGTTAAAAAGCTAATTCGGTGAACAATAATATGAACTCTGAAAATATTGTGTTGAATGTACCCTAAGAATTTCAAGTCAAAATTCATGGGATGTGATCATTAGAAGAACTTAACGGCGTGGATCATGAAACAAGGACAGTGTCCTTTAAGTTATTTGGTAGAACGTCATTTCACCAAGGTGATTTTCTAGTGCTGACTTGTGTTTTTTTTCTTGTAATCGTGTGAGCAACAATAATCATCATTCCCTTTCAAGTATACCCGTTGCCTACAAGAATGGAGAGGCTGTAACTAGTCAGTTTTGTAATGTCAAACTAGTGGATATTTACAAAAAACAATCATCTCCAAGCCATCAAAGCATTGATAAGTGAGGTAGTCAAGCAATCAGAGTGGCCCTCGATCAGCTGAAGTTGCCTGAGCAACTGCGATCCTTGAGTTGCGTTTGAATCTGAGTAGAGTAACAATCTTAGCAGTCTTCTAAAGTAAAATTTCATCCTCTTTCGAGAAGGTTGTTTTGAATTTTTGTAGTACATCAACCCCCGAGAAGATGTTGGCTTGAAAGGAACAGGTGTCATGCGTTCCCCCATGAGAGCACATGTTAAATTGTGACCGAGTTTCATCCACTAGCGTGACTTCACAGAAACGTAATTTCAGACTCTCCATTCTCGTAGGCAGTGGTGTAGCTTCACACCAGGGAAAAAGATAAGCCATGTGAATGTGAGATTCTCTGGTGCTTTGTTTTAAAAGCGTGGTCCAACTTTTACCTCTTTTAGTCAACACTCTAAAATGCTCAGTGTTGGTGTGAACATTATTGATTTCATGCTAGTGCTTGATAGTAATCTTTCTTGTGCAAAGTTTCATTGGTTTTGAAACTTTTTATCCAAGCCATTGTGTACCTAGAAGTGGCGAAAATTTCTCTGAGAGTGATGCTAGAAAATTGACTTCCCAAGCAACCTATTTGCTTTATTATGAAAGAAGAACTCAGGTTTAAATTAAGGCAAAGAGTTTACCCCAATGTACAGATCTGGTTGAATCTTTTCTATCTTTAAAAGTGTTTCAATGAGGGCGAAGAGCACAATACTGAAGGGATGACCCTTGTAGATTCACTGGATTTTCTTTCTTGCACATTGTTACATATCTCCTTAAAGTTTCCCCCGATTTCTTTCAATTTTTTTATTCTATTTAATTTCTCACCTTAAACTTATTGTGTGCTTCCAAAAATAGTCTAAATAATGTTTGCACGCTCAATCTTTTGTGCAGTGTGTTTGTTCCTGAACTGCGTAATTCATCCTTTTCTTTTTGCTTCTTTTGCAATTATTTGATCAAAAGTTCCTGTATCTTCCCTTTTCGCCTATTTAAAGGGGAGTGGGGGGCAAATGGCAGTTAAAGTCATCCAAAATTGATTTCAAGGTGATTCGTCAAGCTTAAGTGACATGGTCGAACTGGCATGCAATATATCGCACCAATTAGGTCAAAAATCTTGGCAGATTTTGAATTTTTAACTTAAGAAAGGACAATTGCCCCTGCGCTTAAGCCTGGAAAATCATTCTATACCCAGAAATTGGCAAAATTTTAGAGAAATGAAAGCAGAATAATGTTAGGAAAAAAACCTTGCATTTGATACAGAAATCGATAGCTGAATAGAATGCAAGTTTTTTTTTTGAACACTATTCTGCTTTCATTTATTTGAATTTTGCCAATTTTTGGGTCTAGAATGATTCTTTAGTTTTTTTTTTGCTAAAAATTCAAAATCTGCCGAGATTTTTTACATAATTGATGCAATATATCGCATGCCAGTTCGACCACGTCACTTGAGCTTGACAAATCACCTCAAGAGTCTTGAAAATCTGGACCTAGCCGAGCGGCTATATCTCCTTTGTATGATAGACTCAGTCTGTCTCCATACTATTTTTGCATTGTTTGTCTCTATTCCCAATTCTGTCTATAAATGTTTGCCTCTTTTTTTCTGTTTTCCTTTTTTTTTCTGAGGAATTTTTCTTGTATTTTTGTCTTTGAAATCTATCTTGGCACCCCTGTCTGAGAAGAGAGTTATTTTTTATTGTGGCTTTGGTCGCCTGCTTTGGCATGCTGTGTTTGCATGGTAGTGATTGCGTGTATCTGTCTGTGGTGCTGACTTAGGTCTTCAATCAGCAGGCTTTCCGTTGCCGACAAGACGTCCCTTCTCAAGGACAAGGATCTGAGTGCGGAGCGACAGACTCTTGACCAGCGTATATCAGCCGTTGAAGAGGAGCAACCCGCTGATAAAGTACCCAAAGTTGAGCTGGAGATAGAGCCAGAAGATAGCAGCACCGCTAGTGAAGATAGTAGAATTGGTAGGTGTTCAACAATTCTTTGTTAATTTTTTGGATGACAGCATTTATAAATCATTCTAGCAGAGAAAGTATCCGTATGAAGAGCAGTTCTATTGGCTTTCTTACTCTACTACTTTGAACTTTACCGACTGAAGCTTCTAATTCATGCTAAATTTTGGCTGTTTTTTATTCCATTTTTCATCACTGACTATCCCAATAAGGCTCTGGAATAAAAAGATATCTGGGAGTAAGTCAAAGAAAGCAGAACCTTTTTCCCCCAATCCCTTCTAAGTGATGCATTTTTGGTACAGAGACAGTTGAATAGTAAATGAAAAGAGAAACAGAGGCTCTCCTAAAATTCTACTAAAAATGCTATTTTGCAATGTCAGTGTGTCGAGCTGTCTGACATTCATGAAACACTTTCTTTTAGATTTATGACATCTCTAGCATTAATATAAGGTATTGCTTCTGAGAAGAACGTATAACTGGTGGGTAGAGGAGGCTGCGCACCCTTTAGCCCCGACAAAATTATAAATTTTTCAGCTGTAAAGTCAAATTTCACATCTCTTACAAAGATAGTTGGCTTTTTATTTTGATTCAGATTGCAGCTGTTCAAGGCTCAAACTTTTACAATAGGTTTCAAGATTAAAGAGATTATCTATCAAATTTTTCAAAGATGGATGTACTTTAACGAAAAATATTTAAACTGGTTTACTTCATTCAGAAGTCAAATTGCAGATTTCAATCACATACCCTTTCTCCAACCCCTTAAACACTCTTGATTTGAGGTGGACAGTTGACAACAGTTACTTTACAAAGTACCCAGTAGCCAAGCATATGGTTAATAATGATCCTAAATCATATCTCAAATCAAATTTAATCTAATCAAAATAGAATTGGTCCTCATCCTTATGTTTAGTGCACATCGGTCTAGTTGGTTATCCATGGTCACTGACACTGTATACTTTTTTGTTTTTATTGCCATCACTAAGTACCTAGTGAAAAAATTATCTACCAGCACTATTCCTCTGAGCCCAAGATACTTAATATCTTGAGAAAGTTTACCACATTTCATTGTTATAACTCGGTTAAGAGGTAACGCTTTGTGAAAATCACATCAAAGAATCGAAGCGCGCAATGCTTGTGCTTTTTGCCTGGAATTTAGGCTAGAGATTGGTTAATAATGTAAGCAGGACAAAGAAGAAGTTAGGAGTGAGACAACTCTGTCCCAACCATCGATATTGTTTTCAAACTCTGATTCTCATTTTTTAAAACAGGATTGCTCATATCGGCATTGCCGAAGGTTGTAGAGTGGCCAATTTTTGATTTTCATCACTAATATGAACAGTGGGCTAAAAACCCTGAATGTCCTTCATTTTCAACTTTGGCGCATAATGAGGTATCCCCTCACTTTGATCATTGCGAAATGTGAGAGGATTGTCTTAAGTTTGTGCTATCCCTTTTTGCATGTTTTATCAATGCATCTGGCGTTGTGATCAGTGTCCTCTCTCCGCACCTTTTATGGATTGATATATTAATGATTCATTGAATACCCGAGTATGCTGCAGATTGTCAATTAATGTCATGTTCTGCCAACTTTTGATAATGTTTTTTCTCGTAACCTTACCGCTAAGATACTTATATCTACTCTCAGATGTATGTGGCCAGCTTATCTTGGCTGTAATTCATTTTTGAAGATTCTCTCATGAAAAGGGCCGGAGGTGCCATTTCACAGTTTCAAGAGAAATGAAAAATGATAACTCAATAGTCAAGAGGGGTTAATGTTTCTGACAGAAAAAACTTTTTTTTCTCTCTCTTCTCCCTTTTTATCTACTATTTTTCTTTTTGACAGTTTCTTTAATTCAGCAACAAATTGAAGGTTTCTTCAATTTTTTTAGGTTTTTCTTTTACTGTTAAATTCCCAACAAAATCTCATAGAGCCTCTGAAATAAGGTTGATAAGTGATCAATTTTTAAAGGTCAGCCTCCAACTCAAAAGAATTGACAACCACCCTCAGCAACTAAACTATGAGACAAGTTTGAAACCTTTTTTCACAATTTTGAAAAAAAGGGAGGCTACATAATTCATTTGAGATATTATCGATGGTGATTCATAGGATTTCTAAGAATTTGTCCATTTTCAGGAGCATGAAGTATTTTCTTTATGGGAGGTTGAAGAGAACGACTAATGATAATAAAAAAAATGTTAAGTTGCAAACATGCCTGGTTTGATACATCCCTGTCTTTAATCCCCTGGATGTTTCTGGGAATCTCTCCGAATCTTTCATGAGGAAAGTTTGAGGCTGGAATCGTAAAATATGATGTAATCAAAAAGGTTTTCTACCCTTACCAAACAGCCTTGACAAAAAATAATGCCACTTTTCCGTCCTAAGTTATATATGTCAAGCATATTGTTAGTAACAAAAAATATGATGCTCCTTTCAACTAATAGTGTCATCTTTCGCTTCTGGATTTTATATCACTCTTAATTTATCCCAACTTTTCTCTCTGATGCTAATGTCTCTTGTTTCTCAGTGTATTGATTTTTTCCTCTCTGTTTCAGAAAATAAAAATAAAATTAATAAAGAACGAAAATCTAGAAAATCATCCTCCCCTGAGCTCAATAAACCAGTTCCTAATAATCCGGTAATTTTACTTGTCTTATCTTATTTATCTAATCTTACTTTTTATCATGATTCTTTTACAAGTTGTACGTCTTTCAAAGTATGACTGAATGAAGTACGATTCTCAAAGCAGTAATTTTTTTTATTTCTTGGCTGGATTTCCGTTTGTGCCGACCCTCAATGTCAAAAGTGACAACCTTTGAAGACTTGATAAGTCAAAACAAAAACAAGAAGAGCCCCGTTTTTTAAATCTACTGTTTTGTTTTCGTGATTTGCCACTGCCACCCTTAGTAAATCAGGCCCCGATTACTTCCTCTTTTTTGCTATGCAAAAAGTTAGAATTTACATCAAGATAAAGATCTGTCATTAAATCATTTACTTTTAAACTTATTTTCCTTGAGCTATTATGGGGAATCCAAAAGACACCTACAGTCTCATTGCAATCTGTAAGATAGCTTGTTTAAAAATGGTGAAGTCCAAATTGATGAAGTCATGTCAAGCACCCAGAGCTCGGATGAAAGACAGCAAGGAGCCTTATAAATTACAGGATGGTACAACATTACTGGGTCCTCACAATTCAGAGAAGAAGTACGAAGCTATTAAAAGAAGTAAAGAACACCTAAAAATATGGCCTGAATATTTAGTCCAGGCGCCTGGTAAGTCTACCTGGAATTTTGGGTACACAGCGATTTTTTTGGCCTACTTTATGTTTTTTGGGTCGCTGAATCCGAATCTGAAGTTTCCGCACGCGTATCTGGTGAGCATTTTCCGCTATTTTGAAAAAATGGCCTAAAAAGGCCTTTTTTTGCGGTTTTTTTGATATAGCGGCTACGGATGAGGAAAAGTCCCGGATTTAGCTAATGTTTTGAATAGCTGACATAATTTGGAAGAAAATGGTATATAAATATGCTAGGTTTGCTCAAAAATTGAGGAACCTCGGATTTCGGAACTTTGGAACGCTTCGGAACTTGGCTGACCGCGGCGAGCCGGATCGCGCGTTGACGGGTGCGCCGCGAAAACGTGAATGGGCGCGATGTTCACGATGCTGTATCTTCCTCAATATTTAAGCAAACCTAACATATGTATACACCATTTTCTTCCAAATTATGTCAGCTATTCAAAACATTAGCTAAATCCGGGACTTTTCCTCATCCGTAGCCGCTATATCAAAAAAACCGCAAAAAAAGGCCTTTTTAGGCCATTTTTTCAAAATAGCGGAAAATGCTCACCAGATACGCGTGCGGAAACTTCAGATTCGGATTCAGCGACCCAGAAAACATAAAGTTAGCCAAAAAAATCGCTGTGTACCCAAAATTCCAGGTAGCCTCATTTTTAGCTACCAGGCGCCTGGACTAATTGTAAATAACATGGTGGTAGAATAGTGCCAAGGCCCACACTATTCCAGAAGCCATCTGAGTCTTCCAAATCCCCTTTTTTTTAAGGAAAACACATCTCAAATTTCGTTTCTGGGCTTAATGCAATCATTTTAATTTTATGATCTCTGAAATTTTCTTTTGGTTTGTTATATAGGCACCAACCTCACCACCCTCCATTGAGAACGATGACTCAAATATTCCCTCATGGAGGAGACCTGGATCTTTCAAAAACAGAGTTAGCGACAGAAATCTTAATCTTAGTAAGTTCATTTCAGCCTTTGATCAAAATTTTAATCTCTGTTGACTCACTTCATTGGTGGAGTCACATTCATCCATTGTTCTCTCTCCTTTAACTAATTCTTAGAATTCTTAATATCATAGGGGTGCAAGAAATCTCACCCTTAGGAATCCAACGCCTCTTCTTTACAATCAAGTTTCTTGAGATTCTCAGATTTTCTCAGAATTTTTGCTTTGTATTAGGAATTTCTTTCGAGAGAAAATGGGTAGTTGTTTTTTGAAAACTTCCTCCCTCAAATCGTTGCCACATTGGATTTATGTATCTTTTGAAGTTATTATACCTGCACAATTCATGTGCACTCAAGCAAGTGAGTCCATGAAAATATTGAAACCACCTTTGATACACATTTTTATTTTGATTCTGTATGAAGGAACATGTGTTTTTTATGTCCAACTTTGCCATAAATCTGACAATAACATGACGGCATACTTTCAAGTTCGATGCAATGCACCAGTGTTGAACCTTGTTGTTTTTATGGACTTATTACAAAAGCGAAGATGATTAGCAAAGTAGGTGGGGACTTTATCTACAAATTTACAAACTATTTTGAGAAAATTTGATTATAAACTTCATAATCAAAATTATTTAACAAGATAATGAAAACTACCAGTGCATGGGTTCATTCTGAGCCATTTCTGCTCCTAGATATTGCTTTATCTTTGTATTAATTTTGACCAAAACAAAGGGTCGGTTAATTTTTGAAGAATTGAAAAGAAATCAATTTAAATGCTAGGGGGCATCAATCGAAAAATTATTGGGTGTTGCTCAGTTATCAGGGACAAATTATCTGCCGAAACTGAAAAGCACCAGAAAAATACAACCAACAGCACCGCAAGAGAATGCACCAAAAAATAGCAAGCACCAAAAAGCTTAACTTGCACTAAAAATTGTTATCAAAATTGTAGAAAGCTCTTTTTGTGACATGCTTTCATCATTAAAATACTGCGATGTTCAAATCCTTAATGTAACAAGATTTAGTGTATTTTGTTCTTTAATTTTGATTCTGAAAAAAAAAATGTTCATTAATTTTCTCGATCGTTTTTTCCTTCAGAAGTGGGAGAGTCAGAACTGCCTCAGCTTATAACAGACTCATGGCAGAAGCGAAACGCTCTAGAAGGGACGCAAGAGGTCTCACTGCGGAGAACTCAGAGTTTCGAGAACGATGAAAAGTAAGTGAAGCTGGACTTAAAAGCCTAGTTGCTCTCAATTTTTTTTCAATTTTTAATCCTAACCATTGAAGTCTTACCAAAAACTAATGAAAAGCACCGTAATTATGTTTGTAAGGTAGATGTTGAATTTGCCAGCAAAATTAAAAAACGCATTTATATGATTGGTTTACTTTAAATGGACCTGTGAGCCACCTTGTATTGAGATGCTTAGCATTTGTATATTCTGGAAATTCAGTTAAGATGGAAACAATCACTACTTAGTGCTTACAATTACCCATGAATCAATCATCATTTTCTCAGTGGTTTTTGGAAGGAAAATTTTCCAGACCTATGTTATGTAGTTCACCTGATTTTAATGATCATTTTAAGAATCATTAGAATAGAAAATACAGTCAGAGCTTCATTCAAGCTGTCATGGACTCAAAATATAAAATGAAAACGATCTAATTAAGTTCAAATAATACATTGATGGCCACATGTGAAAAATACGTTTCTCAATGGTAATGTTTAAAAACCTTTAATTATGTTTTATTTTCTACAAGGGAAACTAATCAAATTGCTCCCTTGAAATTCTGTGAGACTTTTTAGAATGAACAAATAAAATTTCAATAGAAACTGGTAATTAGTTTTCCTGTAAAAAATCAAAACATGAGCACAAACTTACAATGCCTTAATCTGCGTTACGTTATCCATTGACATTCAATTAACCTATCATTTTAATGAGAGGGTCATTCATGAAGGCCCATGCATTTTGAGCTCATTCAAAAATTATCCAACGTAAAAAAATCCTACTTTGCCTGCAGATCAGGTATTTTCGCTTCAATTTTAGCCCAAGCTTTTAAAATTCAGTCAAGCAAGGTGGTTAGAAGCTGCTATCGGTGGATCTCTTGCCACCTCCGTAAGTTGGGTAACGTGTGTGAAAAAAGTAACAATCTTCATGCATTTTTAACGATAAAATGGTGTGATACTCGAATCCCAAGAAATATGTTGAAAAGGAACCTCTTATTGTAATAACCATTAACTGATGAACAGTATTGTAAACCAGTAATGAATCTGGTGGAAGAAGTTGATAAGGATTTCAATTGGATCAGATAGAATGCCCAATTTGCAGATAAAATAGGATTATACCTGTCTGACATTATTTGAATGAGAGCAGAACGCTCAGGATTTTATGAATGACCCTATTACCTGGAATTGTGATAGCTTGCGATTGATTTTAAACTTGCATGCTTTTCATTCAACATGTTTGCACGATAATATCATCCTAATATTTTTTTCGTTTTGGATGCACATGCTCTAAAATTTTGTATTTGCTTTCATAACTGTCCCTGCAAATGACCCTCTGATTTTATGAGATAAAAACTTTATGGAAAAAGCAGAGATGTCAACAGAAAAGTATGATTGAGTTTCTACTAGTGCAAGAAATTTGCAATATAAATATGTAAGTAAATCTGTAAACAAAAAAATTTCAAAAAAACATGATGGTACCAATCAGCTTTCAGATTCGAATAAAGTCATCAAGAAAAAGATTTAATAGTGATTTAACGCTAGTCTAGTAGAGGTCACCCTTATAGAAATGCATTCAGACAGCAGAAAGAAGGCTTACGACTCAGAGAGTTTGTAATTTTATGCATAATCCACCTCAAAAATTCATAATTAGAGTTTTTCTTGAGCTTGGACAAAACCTATGACTTTTGATAATCTCCCAAAATTTAGATTAAGAGAATATAGATCAAGTATCATATCTCTTGTACTTGCAAAAACTGCTTTCTGTTTTCATCATCTTCATTTCTTAGTGTTTTTTGGGCTCAGAACAGCTTAAAATTCAGGAAGTACAAGAGACAAGTCTGAGCAAGTTCCACAAAGTGTTACACGATCTGTTGGCATCCCTGAAAACCATCATCATTTTTTAGTTTTCGGTACACCTCCTCCAAGAGTCATGGATTTAAAGAGTCAAATTCTTAGCTATGCGAACTGAATGTTCGTTGAAGTGTGTACATCATTTGCAGGAGACATTTTTGCTATTATATGTCTGCATGCTGACTTTTTGTTTGTTTTGCGTGCGTTTGCGCTTGACAGTTTCCGAAGGCGGTATTTCGAGCTCCGAGCAAAAATCAACGCTGGCAACTCATGTCCGACGCTCCACGGTCAAACGCTTAACTCTTCACTTACAGCTAGGTCTTCATCCCTTAAGGAAAAACATTCTCTAAGGTAAATGGAGCTCATTAAATAATTTCTGCTCAATTCATTGGTAGTTGCAAAACAAGTTATAGAAGTGTTCGGACCTTTCACTGGACCAATTCACTAAATAATATTTCTAGTATCTGCTTCTTCCCACAATGTTTCAGCGTGCTTAGGAAAGTTATGCTTTAAGTTAAAGTGCATGGACGGCCTAATTTTTTTTTTTTTTTTTTTTTTTAATGTAAGACTCCGTCTAATTTTACTTACTGTGGAACTCTTCTGAATTCGTAGTAACACAAATCATCAACTTTCATTACTCACCTATTGCTCTCAACAATTCACATTATCAGCGAATAATGTGGTATCACAAAAATAGTAAAAATATTCCTTTCAAATAGTGATGACATGGCAAGTACAGTCAAGATACATAACATCCTATTACAACATATATAGTATAGTCCTATTACAACTGTGTCTTGAACGTGAATAAATACGCTTGGGTCAAAAGATACACAGTAGTCAGTCCATTATCAATTTGCCTTATATTTTTCTGTTCGGGTTGGATATTTGACAACTTTGAACCTCGTTTTCTGCTCTAAAAATGTTATTCAACAGGAAGCAAAAAAAAATGTAGGGTTTTTTTTTTTATTGTTTACGTAATATCTGAAAATAAATTCAAAACAATTTTTCAATAACCCAGTTTTTGACTTTTCAACACATTACCAACCTAAATATGTTATGTCTTTTGACCATTGATAGATAAATTATCTGTTTTTACCTATTATGGCATACAATTTTTGGGCAAATGCATAACCAGGATGTATGAGCAAGAAAAAGTTTTCAGGAAATTAGCATATGACACAGAATAGTCTATTCTTAGGAATCTTTCAATTTTTCTGGTAAAATTCCAGTTGCCATAAATAGATGGAAGTTATTTCCAGAATATTTTCCCAGAAAAATTTAAAAATAGAATGTGAAACAATGAGAACAAACATTTTTTTTTTTTATTTTACGTTGACCTGCATAAAACACTTAAAAGTCCTGTTTCAATAAGAAAGCATCAAATACCTGACTTGCTGAATGCACTAAATTCTTTGCAAGAGCTTTGATGAGTTCAATTTTACTTCTTCTATGTTGAAGAAAACTGTCTTGTAGCTTGATGCAATGCATCATCCACAAATTGCATGTGCTGATATTCTTTTTTGATACTTTTACTGTTTGTTTGTTTTTTTTAAATGCAGTTATTTTCTAATTTTTTTTTCTTTTTCCTCAGACGAGGCACAGATCGGGAAGATCGCATACCAAGTAGTCAGCCCTCAAGCGTTACCACAACAAGTCTGCCTACTACGCCATCGTCTGTTGTAAACACGAGTCCATCCCATGCTACGCAGCCAATCATGCCCCGCAAGTATGTTCTATTTTTTGTCCAAGTTAATTTTTTTTAATTTATCCTTTTTTGAAGCAGTCATTTCAAAAAGGAGTCATCTCTTTTGCAAGGCTCCTATGACTGCGCAATCTTCTGGCTGCATTAAAAGCACTTCCATGGGGTTTTCTTGTCATTAGAAGCAGAAGGATGTTTGTCCATGAATTATTTTCTAAAAACTCATTTAGTGTCCCTGTATGTCGGATAGCTTGCATGATTTTAAGGGCCACTTCATAAACGCCCTTCGGAGTTTTTGACACTGCCCCCCACCCCATGTAAAGCTTGTTGCAAAAGAGATGGTTTGTTTTTATACCTGCTCCAATTTTTGTCTTTAAGGATCTAGGTGCTCAGAATGTATTTTATTTTCATTCATTGGCACAGCTTTGGACATCTTTCTAAAACTTTAACTTCAGTCTCCAATGATCAAGAGTGAATATCTTTCCTTGTTCATTGGAACTGTTTCACACACTTCTCAATCCAAACCTGTCCTGGGACTTGCGGAGGAATAATTTGACCCTTTTAGTTTATTGATTGTATGTACTTTTTTTTTCCCTAGACATTTTATTTTATCTTATTGCCAATGAGGCAAGTACTATTTGCTAATTTTATCCATTAGGAAGGGTTTTGCTTTTTAAACTACTGGTTCTAGTTAGGATTGGTTGAACTGGCCCTGAATATTTAACTTCGACCTTCTGTATTCTTTTTTTGTACATCAGAGATATTTTTCATGAAACCATCTCACCAAATTGAATTAATGAAAGTTCTAAAATGAATTGAAACAATTATTTCAATTCCACTTGGCCTCTATATCTATTTTTTTTTGTTCCTTTCTAACAAGTCATATTAGTTTGAAATCAAGTTTCGCAAGACATTCGTTCCTTTCTGAAATCAAAATCATCAAAAAAACGTAGTGTGATGCATCACTTGATTTGCACTCGTTGAGTTATTCATGCACAGTCCATTTGGGTGTTGTAAAATTATTCATTATATTTAGTCTAGCTGATGTATCTGTCTCTATTCTCTCTCTCTAGTTACTATCTCTCAATTCATCCATCATTTATGTATGGTATTCCATTTGTTTTTTTCTTTTTATTTATTAGTTTATTTTTTACTCTCCTGTAATCTAAAAAAGTCCCGTATCCATAAACAAAATAACATAACAAACGTTTTGAAACCCTCTGATGTTTATTCAATTAAATTTCAATTTTTAAAGCTTTAGTGAGGAGTTCAGGTTGTTCTCCTAAATTCTCTTGATCTAAAATTCTCTCCCTAGTTGATAATTAACACAGAAAATACCTGAATGTCAAAAATGTATGTCTGATAGAAAGAGGAGTAACCTTCATCTCTGAAGATGAACTAAAGACAAACAAGCTTCAACATTCAAAATGTTAATTTTTTTTTTTTTTTTTTTTTTTTTTTTTTTTTATTTGAACTTTACGTAGAATTACAAACTTTTAAAAACTTAAAAAAAATTTCTAAAATTCAAAAGGTCCAAAGACTTCTCCCCTATAACAACTTTGGTGCTGGTTATCTGACATACATCTTGAGTGTTTTCTTATCCCATCTGCCAAATGCAAATGTAATCATGAAATTAATACTTATGGTCAGGGTACAAATTTTTAATCTAACGTTTTTAAGTCATTTTGAGTCTAAATTCAATATTTTGAGCAAGGCCTTTTTTTTCTTTCTCTTATTCCTTTTCCATTCTACCTCACTCTGTATTTGTTGAGAATGAAGCGGTAAATGGTTGTAGGAACACAGAAGTAGCATGAATTTCTCATCAGGATTGTAGAGTTTTTGACTGATTTTCACTACCTCATATTTCTATAATGAAAAGGTATTTAAGTTTATTAGAAATGTAGTTGTCAAGTATTGTGTAATTCAGTGGAATTTATGGCATCTTTGGGCTCAAAAGAATCGTTCATCATGAATGGTTCAAGCTCCGAATGAATATCTATAGACAGGCTCTTTGAGATACTTTCACCCCCTGAAATTTTTACATAGCAGAATTTCTCATCTCAATTGGAGATGTGGAAAATTTGTCTATGTAGTGTAGACTAAACTGAGCATTTTTTCATAATATTTTAGTGTAATTAAGACGATTACGAGTAGCACTTCTCCGACTACTCCTACTCCCACGTACACGGCTCCAAGCACCCCAACCACACCAGGTGGAACCAAGTTGAGTCCTGGAAATATCTTCAAAAATTTCTTCAAGTGCGTAAAAGGATACTTCTGAAGTGCTCGCCGAGTCTGTGCTATTTTGCTGTGTTCCAGTTTTGTTTTTGCATCCCTTCGAGTGATTAAGTTTGCAATGCTGGCACAAGTAGTAATGAATTTAGGAATGAATTCATAAAATTCAAGCGGATAAAAATTTGAAAGCTTATTTTGTCAGTGATATCGTGCTAATTTTGCTAAAGCACCTTTGAACATCTTTTTACCAGTGTGGAATAGAAAACAATCACGTTTTTTTCTTTTCCTGCAACTGCAGCTGTGTTGTTTTGCATAGAATTTTATATTTGTGCTCGCTGACTTAGTTTTTTCGTTAGATGGAAATTGTTTCTCCTTTCTTTTACCTCTATCTTACATTTTGCAACTCTTTTGTTTTTTCAATTTCATATTCTTCCTCATTCCTGTAGTGCAAGTTTTCCTTCTGTAGAAATAAGTTGATCTTCATCATTGATTTTTCTAGGTTTGATGAATGAGCATGGAAAAATTATTTTCGAATATTTCCACTTTTGCTTCTCAAAAGTTTTCTTTCTTCACTCCCTACTATGTCTTTTCTTTCTTTGTTTATCAGTTACGGTTTTTTTTTTATTATTATTTTATTTTAAATTTACAGTTTGCTTCTTTTATTCTCACTAGCCGTATGCTCTTTCTCTCATCAATTATGAAGGCTATCCTAGCAGTCCTGAGACTGGTGCTATAACTTAAATAGTAGCAAAGTCGGTAACTTGATCCTGATGTGATCTGAAGGGACGGTTCATTTTTATACAAATTAAACAAAAGTGAGCCTATTTTTTAAAATCAAAATTTAAAACACTTCAAAAGAAAAAGATTTGGCGTCCCCTCTGTTGATGGTTTCTACTGTTATTTGTTAACCACCTGAGACCCAGAGTAAAAACATTGTGACCCGGTTGTCCACAGGTCCTATCACACCATCACTCTTCGTTAGTTCTTAAGTTTCAGCACCAACTATAGGAATTCAGGAGCAACTTCTGTAGTTAGCTTGATGATTTTCTGCGATCGATTGCCCCCCAAATCCCTCATTTTTCCGTAGAATACTTTCAGTTTTTGAAGTGTTCTCCTCTTTTACACTGCATGGTCTTGAGTGTGAAGTATTTACAGTCTATTTTTTGAGTACATGTTTATTTATAGCATTTTAAATTGGATCATTAACAGAAATTATCTCCATCAAAAGTTTTGAGAAATTGAGTGGAATATTCTTTAGCTGAGTGTCATTGAAAGGGATCTTTGGATAAAAACAAGCATACAAACTTTGTATTGAAAAAATTTGGAGATCAGAAGCTGGACATTTGTTATCAATTATTCTACGATACCGGGTGTGCCAGACCACCTTTAGCTACCTTTTTTCTTGGTTATTTCAGCTTGGTCGAAGTCGTGGTGTCGTCGGCCCTAGGAACTTCAGGAATAGCCCTTAAGAATCTGCATTTTATAGTCCAGAAGCGCTTTTGCCCCGTTAGGGTGAATGCTCAAAAGCCAATTTCTGACTGTATTTCAATTTGATTCCACAAAAATAAAAAAGTGCAGAATATTTAAATTTTACTGACACCAGAAAATTCAAAGTCAACTCATCCTCTTCCAAAATTTGATATTTACAAGTGGATGAACTGCGCCTCTCTCCACGACATACCATTTGGTCGCAAAATTGATACTGAGTCTCTCGAAAAAGGTAGTACATTGTATTATCGACCTTCAACAGGTTCTTTCACCGAGCAAGTCGGATGTCCTAACGTCTAGGTGCTGAAACTGCAGGCTGTCTTTAATTTAAATGTATGCAATGCTTTGCAGTCAAGGCTTAAATTCAAATTTCCCAAGTTTTTCAGTGTTTTCTTCAATATCAAGCTTCCAGGTTCAGTAAGAAGCCGATGCTAAAATTTGAGTATACAGTATCAATGCTCCTATTTTTTTATTCTTTGGACTAATATTTTATTTTTATTTTTGTTTTGTAGGTCCTTTGTTCCTCCGGTTCGTGATGAAGAGTCTGAGACTCAAAGGAAGGCGCATGCAAAGAGGGTGAGGGAAACAAGGCGGTCAACGCAAGGTGTTACCCTAGAAGAAATCAAATCAGCTGAGCAGAGGCTGAAAAAACGGCAACAGCAACAGTTGCATCAGGCAACGCAACAACTTAATAATAATAGTGATCAGGTATGTTATGAATGTTTGAATGAACTGTCATCAAATCCAATCAGCTGTTTAAGGATGAAGTCAATTAAGCTGTTAAGGATGCACTCAATTTAATCCCCGATTCAAAATTTTTTGTTTATATTTATTCTGATGTCCAACTTTATAGGCGACTGCATACTCAGTGATGACCAACTACACATATATACTTTTTGTCTTTTTGTGGCCCCTTAATCATGTTGAAAAAGGGTTGCACCAGTGGTTTTTGCAAATCATCTCGTGCAAAGATTATAGAAGAAATGTGCCGTGATGCTCTTCCGCTCGTTGCTCTGCAAAATTGCTACATATTTTAATTAGCGCTATTGCCAGGTTTTGTAGTGCGACAGTAGTATGATCAGGATAACTTGAATTGTCTCCTTGAGGGAAAAATACATCTCATCAAACATGTCTTGCTATAAACATCTACTTTCTCTTTGCTTCTTGTCTATCATGGTTTTGTCTTCCTTTGTAAATTTTCTCTCGCTTTTCATTTTTTAGCCACCATATCTCTTCCTTCAAAGTTCTGTAAAAACACTGCAATGCTCTAAAAGAGAAGGTTTTTGAAATCCCACCAGCATCTCGCAATTTTTGTTCCCCTGCTTTGTTTTAGAGCTAGCAATTTTTGAGTTATTTTTTGCCTGAGCAACTCTGTTTGATGCCCCTTCTCATCAGGTTGTACTTGTAATAATTGAGAAATGCCACAGTCCTGGTCCAAAAAGAACAAGTCTAATGTATAGAGTAGAAATTACCTTTGTATCCCTATCTCCAGATCCAAAATTATTTTATTTTTTTAGGCGACCAGCTTCCTGATCGTTGAAATTTTGTGTTTGACGGATAGACATAGATGACATAGGTTCAAGGGTGGTGCATAATTTGTCGGCTGTGTCATATCGCTGCTTTGTCATACCTATGTAGGACGGAACTCACGACAAGCTAAAGGCACCTCTTAAGTTTCTGACAGTATGTCGTCCATTCCACCTGACAAAGGCACGATAAAGCAGTGATAAGAAATAGTCGACCAATCGCGCTCCGCCTTTTAACCTATGTCATCTATGTCTACCTGACAAACACAAAATTTCAACAATCAAGCTGCAGGACCATTTTTATTTTATCTTAAATTTCACAAGTGAACCAAAATCTAATAAAAATAGACCTGAAGATGGACAAATTGAACCATCGTCATCTAACAAGGAAAAAGAAACAAATTTTCATATTGAATTAGGAAGTTTATATTATTGACATATTGATTGAGTAGAGATAGTATCTAAAGTATGCACCACTTCCAGTTACTCAGACCTCCCTCAACCCTTGAAATTTTGACTTAAGTCATTCAGTTGGTCGCTTTAGGGGCTATGTAACTAGGCGGCGTGTTTAGCTGATGTTAGGATCTAACATTTGCTGAAGAGTGCGTTGTGTCTTTTATTCAGTCGCCTTTGCAAGTGGGAAATGATGCAGACTCAGCAGCCAGTACTGTTTGTGCGACGGCAACCATAACCGGAGCCTCGCCCACGGTTGCCAGCTCCACGGACCGCAGACCTTCATGGAGACTCAGAGTTGATAATGGTTCAAAGGTGTGTTGCTGTGTTGTCATGGCTTATTGTTACTGTGTTGACATGGCTTACTAGACGGTTTAGACTGCTTTCGAGGACTACTCCAGCTTTCTGCACGGTTTTTTGCGCTCTTCAATAGTGCAGATAACATCATGAGGGATTTTTATTTGCATATTTGAAGTAAAAAAAAAAAAAAAAAAAAACACCGGAAATGTAATTCTTGGGCTCTACTGCATTCTCTCTGATTTTGTCTTTCGGAGTATATTTTTTTTCAGCCTAAAATTGGCTCTAGTTTGGCTTCAATTGTTACATATTTCGGATAACTTCTAGTTTCAGCGTCCATGAAAGGGTTAAAGGAATTTGATCAAGTATGATCAGATCCTAGGCATTTTTTGCACCTTTGAGCTTCATGTTTCTGTTTCTGCTGCCTTTTGTTCAAGCTAACTTCGTTGTTGTGATAGTCAGAAGTCCAATTTGGTTTTCTGAATCTCATCTTCAGCTGGGAAACCACTGCCAGTTTAACCTCCGCTTGATTTGCGATGTCTGCATCTGAGTGATTTTTTCCACTAAAACTAGCACGTTACTCTATGAAATTTTTCTGGTACTCATATCTTCAAACTTGATTGCCGTGAAAACTTTGTTGTCAACTGTCAACCGTATGGTGCTCATTTTTGTCTTCTTGTATGATTTATGTCACTAAATACTAATGTTTTTGGTTTTAGCTGCATAAGAGCTGAAGTTGATCTTAACATTTTTTTTTCTTTTCAACTTTCGAATTTTTATATCTCTTCAGCTAGTTTTTATTTGAATGTGAAGCGGACCCTTGTTTCCCTTTCGAGCTTTTGGAAATGAATTCCATCTTTCATTCGCACTACACCCACCTCCATGAGAAACATTCTCTGAAACACGAAGCAAAGAGTGTATTGGCCAATTTGTACTTAGTCATACTGAGTTAAATCTCTCTAATGACTCAAATTCTTCAAAATTACTCTGTTATACTCCAGGGAATATGAATTTAATCACCAGTCATCATGTAATCTGCAATTGTGAGTCGGTCTTCATCTCTGATTTTGTGCCGATTCATTTCATCGCTGAACACTTTCATTTGTTCATCGGTCCATGGGTTCCAAAAAGGGTCCATGTCTAAAATTCAGAATACTAATTTGTCTTTATTAATAACTCCTCAGTGAATCTCATTTGGTTCATCATTATGGAAGTTTTTGTTGTGCATTAGTTCAACTAACCACATGTTTACCATTTTCAGCCAAGATTTGTTAGGTTTCAGGTTTTCTACATACATGACTAAGGCAGACCTGTCTTGTATTTTGCCCTTTTGTTGATGTAAATGTTGCTATGTTACACTTGAGATTCGCACATTGTGAAGAGGCTTAACAGCAGAGGATAAATTGCAATGTTGTTCTGTGTATCAAGCCTTCATTCGCCTATTAGTCCAATAAGAAATTTTTCATACGAAATCTTTTTTTCCTATTCATTGCTCACTATCTTTAAACTTTCTAGGGGGTCAATTGTTAAAATATCGAAAATTTTGAAAATGCATACATCACAATTACTTTAAGTATTTGAAACAATTGTCACTGGCCACTTCTCAAGATTACTTGCTGGATCTCTCCGGACCTCTTTTGAACCTTTTCTCTCTACCAGGAGAGGCCCACAATCCTGATGCCTACGCTCTGAAAAATGTACAGCAAATCCATGATTGTATTAGCTGGATTTAATTGGATGGGAAGAAAAATTCTGCAATGACTTCCTCTCGTGATTTCTTTTTGCCCTCTCAATTCATTATTTTTTCAATTTTGTTCAGTTTATGTTAGAAGACGCACGGTCAGACCAAGCAACAAATCAAAGACCCTCTAGTAATCCAGCAGAAACAACTGCAGAGACTACTGTCACACTGCCTCTCCGAAGACCTAACAAACCTCTAGAAGATAAAGGTGCGTAAGCGTTAAGAATGTATATTTTGTCTCACCATTCATATGGTTAAAGTGTGAAACAATAGATCTAAGTTCGTGGTGTTCCAGACTTCCTGTCATACTTTCTTTTTTCTTTGAAAAACTAGTCAACGTGATTTCTTGAAAAGTTCCTTGATTGTTCCTTTCTGTGAGTAGAATATTCTGTGTAAAGTTCAAGCTATAAAGTTGGCTTGTTTCTCCTCGAAGCGATAAAATAGAAGCGGACATTTAGAAACTGTGTAATGGAAGTACGTGGTTTCGCACTTTGGCCATTGATATTTATCTCTTTGTTCCTTGATAAAAGTTAGAATAAGAACTCCCTTTAATGTGAATTACAATTTAAAATCCCAGGTATAAACAATGAGAAAACAGAATCAAGCCTTAATAACAGTAACAACTTTCTCAGATTGAGCTATGTGCACCAGGATGAGTCCAAATAACTTAAGTTTAGCAAAATGGCAAGGGAAAGTTCTCTTTTGGCACTCAAAGAAAAAGTGCAAGAGGATTTTTCAAAAAGAAATACTCCCTTGAGTTACCTTTTCCAGAAAACTGACCAGAAAGCATGGTGTCTAGGACCAGGATAAGAAAAGGAATAACCAAAATTCATGAGGAAAAGTAAGACATCTAGGAAAATCGAAGAATCATTGTTGAAAACAAGGAACTTTCAGAAGTGCAAAATCTGAGGAAATTTTTGGGAAAGATATTCAATTCTTGTTGGCTTCTTACTTGCAAATTTACCACAAATTGAAAGCAATTTATAAGAAAAATCTGGGAGAAAGTAGGGATAACTCTATAAAAAACCCACAAACATTCCTCCCAATGTTGGAATCTCATCGTTAATCCCAGAAAAGTGAAACTTACTGAAAAATCAGAGAGATTCATCTACCTCATATAGGTAGTTTCATTTGGAGCAAAATAAATTTGCGCAAATAAGTTGATTTTCCAGGAATTTGCAAGGCCCCAGCTCTAAGGGGAAGAAAATGTTGGAAAAATGGTATGCTACACAAAAGTCTCCTTACAACCCAAAAAAATTACATACCTTTAAAGTCTTTTCCCCTATTCTGAAATACCCTGTATTTACAATGCATTTAATATTCTACTTGTTACTGAAATGATCCTCCTCATTTTCAGAACAAGATAAGGAAAATGACTGCAGAAATGCCCAAGCTACGCAAGCCGTTATTCAGAGACGGAGAAGGCCCAAGCGAAGATCAACGGGTGTTGTGCAACTAGATATGGATGTAAGTATGCTCTTTTACTATCAGTTTAAATGACTAACTAAATTTATAGAGGATGACTTGGCTTTGGTGGAACTGAATACGTCTAAGGTTTTTTTTAGATGACTCTTCATTCATGTTTTCTTAATCTAACTGTTAGTTACCAGCGCCGTAAACCGAGCCGCACCGGTTTTATGGTGCAGGTGAGGCCACTCTCAACAAATTTTACCACTCTACTCACATCTATCTATGGTAATGAGGTGTTATCCTAGCTTGGTTTGACTAGATTAAACGTTTATTTTCAATTGACAAAATGCACCAATTAATGTTTTGTTGGTTTGATTCAACTTTAAATCAAGTAGATCTTTGTGCGGTATTAACTTAGATTGGTATGGTTTGTCAGGAAATTGACCCTGACCGGCAGGATCGGCATGCAGGTTGTGTTGGAGGGGACTCAGATAACTACGCCAATGATGAGGTAAACTCTTACATTTCTTACTGTTGGCTTTAAACGCACCCAAGATTTAAATTACTTGCTTTCTAAGTGTGTTGTGTCTCGGAAATAGGAATAGCATTAACCGGCAAGAAATGAGAACCAAGATTTAGTTCAATTTCAGGGAAAAGTTCTGCAAAAAAGTGTTATCGAGTGTTTGAGTGTTTCATGTTTCCTAACTCTAAGGTTTCTCAGTAGTGTTATAAACTTGCGTTTGAGTTTTAAGAGCCATCTGGCTCAATAAACTCAATTTTTAGGGGCCATTTCAGATTTTTTAGGAATGAAATTGAATTTTTGCCTGTATATATATGCTTGCAATCTTCCTCACCCCACCACCCTGTTCTGCTGGATCTGTAGTAAAATCAGTAGTACTGCATGCAACTACTTGCTCTACAAATACACTGCCGTGCTGATAAACAAAAAATCATCAATCAGAAAAAATAGGATTTTAGCATTTAATTAGGTGTCATGTTTGGCCTGGGTCTCCATTTTTTAGAGACGAGGGCCAATTTTTTAAGAGCATGCAATGGTGCTTGTAGATTTGGAATACTGCTATCAAAGCTCAGGGAAAAAATAATATGTTTATGAATACACCCCAGGAAGTACATAGTTGAAGTAAACAAGGCTAAAAACATAACACGCCTCGTTTTCTCTTGACAAGTGTGCTGTCCAACTGTGACAGGCGTGTAAAAACAGCTGTAGCAAATGGTCAGACTTAGAGGATGGAGGAATATGGTTTCCCTTAATGTTGAGAAAAAATTAAAAAATTGGCAAGAGAATAGGTTTATAGGTCATGTTCAAGTTGATCCGCTGCCCACTTTACTCGAAATGACTTCAGTGCTAAAAATAATGTGCATTAGTAGACTTTAATCCAATTTTAACCTAGTGAGAGTGATTTTTTTCAGTATTTGCACACCTGGATCCCGATTAGACTTGGTGTAATTCATCAAAGCATTAGAGTCTTTTGCTTCCACTAAAGTTCCTCTCTCTTTTCCTCTACATATTTCACTGCCTCCTTTTGCCCTAACATACACTATTATTATTTTTTTTTTTTTTTGCACTGTCTATCAAATTATCATTTAATTGCTTTAATGTATCATTGTGTGCAACAATCACGTTGCTATTTTGGAATTGAATTTGCTAGCCCAGATTTTCTCTGTTCAGGAGGAATCTGGCTATAAATCAAATAATTGAAGAGAATTTTCATATGACTTTTAAAAAATGTTAGTTTTTCCTTTTACTTCTTGAAAAATCTTTGAAGTAGTCCAAGCTTACTATTGCATTTTAATCAGTATTTTGGTTGCCATATCTTTGAATGCTCTGAATACAATTTTTAAAAAAGATATGAATACCCATATTTCATTGCATTTATTCTATATTGTACCTCTTCAAGTAAAAATGATGTGATGGAGTCTAAATGCACCAAGTCTTCAACTCAAGATTTTTCAACTCTAATTCTGTTGCACTTCCTAAAATTAATTTTTTTGAGCTGGAAAAGTAATTTTGAACCCTTAAAGACTGAGTATACCTCTTGAATTTTTCTGTAGAATGAGATTCCTTCACTGTGAGGCTATAAATGAGAAGAGAACTTGGAATTACCACTAAGTATTGATTATCATATGATTTGTTCTGCATGCATTGCCAGAATGTTGAAAGAACGATTTTCTCTCTAACTTTAGAGGGACCATAGCCCTCAGAAAGGCGTGTTTTGGGAAATGATTTTACCACCAGAATGCCTTTTTTTTGCCCCAAAAAATCAAACCATGCATTGTGCTTTCACCTAGGTACACCCTGTATTTGCCCAGCCCGTGTCAAGCACCAGGTCTGCCCCCTGTGTGTTTGAGTCAGTGTGTCTGTGTCTTAGTTGCTGCAGCTAAAGCTGGAAGGAGGGAGGGAGTAAGTGAAGGCCTTCTAAATTTAGTCCTACAGTGTTGTCACTCCATATCAGAAGTGATGAATTAGGTGTCATGCAGCTCGACTAATGTAAACAAGAAATTTTAAGCCAGTGCCCTCTTAGGCTGAAATGAACCTAAAACATATGTAGTTCTAGATAAGGAACTCCTCAAAATGTTCACCAACAGGTTTTTTTCTTTCCTGTAGTAGAATTCAACATTTTATTTCATAAATATGAAGCTCAAGATGTACAGTTATTTAAATTTAGATCATTCAAAATTATTCAATTTCATCTGTCCCTGTCGAGATCTTTATTTTACTCAAATTTAGGGAATCCTCAGTTATGAAAGAAAGGAAAAAAAACTGCTAATCTAGTTTTTAAACCAATTTTGTTTTTTCCCTAAGATGTATTTGTTCAGGAGAGAAATAGTAATTTTTTTGAAGCATGAGGATGTTTTTTTGGTAGAAATATTGTGTGCAATCAGTCGCGCGCAAAAAAAAGTAAGCTCCCTAGAAAATTAGGGAGACTCACTATGATTTTTTAATCTTTTATTTGAAATTAATTTTCGCTAAACTTGGCAACGAACTGTTGATTTTGGACAGTGCGGGAGTGTGAGCTTGGACTCCACCAACCTCCATCAACTTAGTTCGTGTTGCGATGGCGTCGTACCAACATCCCTCAAGCAGCACCGCGTCTCGCCGCTCACGTCTCGGCGGGTATTCTGCGCCGCGGCCGCGATCCCTGTATAGCCCATCCTCCACCTCGAATTCTTACTCAAACTACCCATCAAGCTACTCATCTTACTCCCCCTCATCGCCGAGCTACAATATCTCACCATCATCGGGCAGCTCCTCTGCTTATCCTAGCTCACCCTCCGCTTATTCAAGTTCACCCTCCGCTTATTCAAGTTCACCCTCTGCTTATTCAAGTTCACCCTCAACCTTCGCAAACTACCCCTCTACCTATTCAAACCCCCACTCCTCGTACGCTAGCCCCCCATCAGCATACTCTTCAGGTTCCCTTTACAACAATGCCTACGGCTCCGGTTCATACCCGTATTCGGTTTATGGTGGTACTGCATCTGGGTACGGCGGAGTTTTGTTACCTACTAGTGGATCATCGTACCTTCAGAACTCGGCCTTATACAACAGATTGCAAGATCGCGATCGTGACCGTGATCGCGATAGAGACCTTTCGGGTCAAAAGTCAGCAAGTGTCAGCCGTTCAAGTAGCTTTAATCGTGCCAAATCGAGTTCGAATTTGTCGCGTGCAGGGTCTACAACATCTCTTGCCTCCAGTTTCAATGGATCCGAAGGCTATGCAGTAAGGTTTTTTGGGGTTTTTTTTTCCAATTTGAGGGATGATATAGATGGATTTTTATGTAACATTGTTGAAAGCTACCTTTATTTAATTTTTTGAATATTAGTATTGAATAAACTATTGAATGATCGCTCTTGTCACAATGACACTATACCCTTTCATAACATTAGTTGCCCTGAGCAACATCCATTAGAATTTTGAGTAAGTGGAAATTTTAAGGATGTGTTGCTATTGATTTATATCACAGGACATTCCAGAGATCTGCTGCTCCTTTCCGGCCCTCCCCCCTCCCTCCAATCTCTAGAAAATCATAGTTTCTCTGAATTTTGGCAACAGTTATTTCATATAATTACCTAGGATTCTGGGGTGGTCAAAAAATTGTAGGTACAGAGCAATACATTTCAGGTACATTTTGTAATACAGAAAGATATTTGTGGCTCACCTATCAAAGCACTAAGAAACTAATGACAATGTGTTGTTACTAAAATTAGAAATAGTAGTTCCCTTCCATACAATGTAGTCCTATTGATGTGTTGGTGTGTTTGATGTTGAGTAAAAAATGCAGTACTAAAGAAAGGAAAAGTATGCAACATGTAGTTTAAAAGGGAGAGTTTATAATCTAACAATCTTTGAGGATAACGATTTGTAGTGTGTAGATGAAATAGAAAATTTTCGGCTCATTATTGGAGTTAAAAATAAGCTTTAATGAAGGCTAGCAAACTGGCTGGCAGCATGCCAGTTCTGGGTTGACAACTCCCTGTTTGTGTTGGATTTGTTGTTCCTCTCCAACCTGCCGCATGAGGCTTCAGATTTTAGAGCAACCACATGAGCGTAGATTCTCACTGCTTTAGTAAACCCATTGACATGATTTTGTTTTATTGTATTTCAATTTTGCAATATCACTTACAAGGCTGACTAATGTGGATTGAAGTACAAGAGAAGTGAGTTTAATTATTAAAATCAGTTAGCTTGCGGCAAAAATCAAAGTTTACAAATTGTAAAAGAGAGGCCTGTTTGCCCTTTGAGCATACGCTAACTTCTGAGCTCAGAATTGTGAGAAATTTTATGAAACAGTGGAAAATTGCATCTATGCTGGAATCCCCTAGATATTTTTAGAAGGTTTTTTTGTGTTGAATTGAGTTTTGAGTTTTTGATTAGCTTCCTTTTCTGCAATGTCCCTCCTAAGAAGAGGAAATCTATCATCTACGTAAATCAATTTTTTTCAATGAAAGACTCATGCCTGGAGTATTGCAATTGGCTTCCTAAGTTTGCCTTAGGGCAAAAATCACTCCAAAAAAGGATTCTATGTATGTGTCAAAAAAAATGCACTCTGAAATAAAAAATCCTCACATATGTTACATTGTCAATACATCAATTAATGTTAATTCTAACATTACAATGTTAATTTCTCCTCTCGCAGAGAATTAGTCAATTACAATCGGTGATAACAATATGTGACATTGAGATGGTATAATCAAGTCACCAATTTGTAATATACTCTCTGAACTTTTTCGGAAATTTTTTTCTCTTTACTGTGTATGATGAATTACCAAGCCAGTTAAAGCCAGAGTGAGTATTTCAGAATTTGCCTTAAAAAAAAAATGAAATCTGTTTCCATTATTTTTATGATTCTCAGCTCCTGTCAAAAATGGATTAATTCACACTTGATATTTCAACAACATCTGTCTTTTTTTTCCTCTCATGATAGAATGTTGCCTCTTACATATCTCTCCGTAAAAAATGGAGATAGTGAGAAATCTCCACCAGTATCAGCACAGGAGTATCGTGTGGTTCCGTAAAAATGAGTAGGATTTGAGTTTAAAGTGTTAGATCATCACCTATTTTATGCACCTCTCCTTCATCAAGTCCAGGTGTCCATATGCAGGTCAGACAGATGCTCGTGAGAGAGTTGATCACTGACCTTGTCACCAAAACCAGTCATCCAAACTTCAGCATCTTGTTAATATGCGACAACTTTGCCATTTGCAGTACTCCTGCTTGTTATTTGAATATTGATTGTGGTCTCTATCCAAAATTTAAATTAAATTATGGTGATCGTCATCTGAGACTGTGCCTCTCATGACCAAAAATATTTTCAGCTCTGTATCATGTGCAATTAGAGATAGCACCTCTATGAGACATGTTTAAACACTCCTTACTTTATAGGAACCTATTTCATTACCTTGCAATCTCAAATAGTACACATATGTTTCCAATGTGCATCTAGTCCCAAGGTAATTTGGTAGGGTGTTTGGTTGATGACTTTTCAAAATTGATAGGGACCCCACTAACTTGCTTTAAATTATACTAACACACTTTGTAGGTAGGATATTTTCGCATTTAGTCAATGTTTGAAAGTCCGGTGGGACCTTCATCTGATCACAAAAAACAATGGAGGAACCCTGGCAACTAATATATGCCCAAACCTGAACCTTTTCAACTGATTTTATGTATTTTTTTGTCAGGTTTAAAAATGAAATCATTGAATTTACATACCCTCAGAAATTGTTGTGTTATCAAAATTTTTCCCCAAAAATTGTACTTAACTGGCAAAAATAGACTAGCAAAAAAATAAAGTAGGATCTGTTGTTGGTTCAGCAGCAGAAAATACCTTACACTCCATCCATTGCATGCCAGAAACTTTGTTTTACTCTGTATGTTTAAAACCACTTTTCTGATCACAACACCAACGCCTATTCATCACCATGTCAAGTTTTTCTGGTTGTTTTGCGTCCAACATTAAGGGTACAAAAAATTCTCTAAGATGTCAGTCAATGTTTGATTTTTTTTGTTTTTGTTTTTTCCGAAACACTGACCTCAGCTCTCTCTCGTCGCTTACCAGATTTTTGGAGAATCTATTTTTTATTTATTTGCCGCCCATAGTAACTGGGAGCAAGAGTTGCACCGACAGATTTTGCAGATCTTCGGAAGTCAAAAACTATGTAGGAACACATTTTTCAATCAGAAATCATTGTGCCTTTTTAAATTAAATTAATCACAAGTTACTCATCTTTTTGCTTGCAGAGTGGAAGTGAAAGACTATCTCAATATAGCACGACATCTGGTGGTGGAGACTCCTTAGCGCAGAGTAGATCAACAGCACCTTCAAAAATCACTAATGAAAATGGTGAACTAGATTATAAAAAGGTAAGATTATGACCAGGAATGGCATCTCTGATTACTTAGATAACACACCAATAGACAGTGAAAAAATTGGACCGCATTTTGTAATTCAGAATTACAATTTCGGGCTCATTTTTAAACAACGTATGTGTATGGGGAATCTGATGCTCCTTATGTTGTTTTTAAAATGAGCCAGATATTGCCATTCCGAATTGCAAAATGTAGTCAAAAATAAGCCCTGCAGCACATGACTTCTCACTAAAATTTGTTGGCCTCCTGTGGTGTAGTTGTTGTAGCGCTGGCCCTATAACCAAGAGGTCCCGGGTACGATTCCTGGCCAAGTGACCTGAGTTTAATGGTCTCAGACAATAGTTACTTGAGGCTGATGGAGGCTATGCTTGTTTTTTTAAAAAAAAAAAAAAATAAAAAAAATAATTCATGCAGAACTTGTTAGCTCATGCTACACAATCAAACCTCATGCTATCTATTTATCAAAGTCATGTGTTTTGATTGGTGCTAATCATCAAGTAAGCCAATCACAGTATTGATGGGATGTAACCTTGTCCATTTGACAGCTAGATTTGATCTCGCAACATTAGCTGTTGAACCCAATGAAAACTTCCAATATGTACCTACTCATGAAGGAGAAAGAAACTTTCGTATTTTACATTGTAAACAGTAAATTCCTACTTCCCATTGACAAAAAAAAAATGCAAACATTGTGGGCCAAATTAGGCATTGAAATCAACCTAAACGTGAGGCTTATAACAAGAGCCCAGTTTCACAAGCATCTCCTTCCTTCCTACTCTACAATGCTACATACCACCAAGTACCTATGCTATAAGTATTTAATAACATCGTCAATATTACGAGACGTCTTGACTCATGCACTCTTCATAAGGTTGTAGTATCACTGCTAAGTGTAATTTTTGTTTGTTTGGAGTGTTGCAACTTTATTTACGCCCATGCAAGTCAATATCAGTCGGGGGTCCCGCCAAATTTGCAAAATCCTCAAAACTAATTTCTGTTTCAATTTTTTTTCTTCCCCTAATTTTTTTCTGCAATGTGATATCAATTTATTTGTTGATAAAAGTAAGGAGAAATAACTGCAGACCCCCAAAAATCCATTTTCGGTAGGAAATGTTTGCAGAGATTTTCACTATCAAGGCTAAATGGATCGATCGGTATCAATGGCTAAAGTGCGAAACCATGTAAGTTCATTTAAGACATTGTAGACTTCCTCCCATACTTTATTTGTTCTTTGGAAATCCAGTCAACTTAATTTCCTAAAAACTTTTTTGACTTTTCTTCCTCAGTCAGCAGAATATTCTGTATAAATTTTAAGGTATGAAGTTGATTTATTTCTCTTTGAAACAACAAAATAGGATTGGAATTATTGAAGCACTGCAATGGAGATTCGTGATCTCCCGCTTCGGCCATCGATATGAATAATCCTAACAGGAGATTCTTTTCATTTCGTATGAAAGAATGTTCAATTGTCCCTGATATTTACCTCTATTTATGTAAAAATATGTGCAACTAATCAGCTGTTTTGTAATATTTTTTAGTTGTATGAAGAATCGCAAGCTGAAAATGCGTTAATAAGAGAAAAACTTAGGAAAACCGAAGAAGAACTCAATCAAATCAAATCTCAACCAGACAAAAGTGTAAGTACCATAGAACAAATTTCATCGCATACTTCCTCAGAAAAGCAAATTAATGGATCCGACCTCTTCCATCCTGTCGAGAAATTGTATTTCAATTTAAAAATTAGTGGGTAGTCGTAATACCTCAGGATATAAAGTCGTGGTAACAGTGTCTGATAATTTTAAAAAAAATTTTAACATAGCTTTTACTTTTTTTCTTCTTTTTTTCTAAAAAATCGATTGTTTCATAGCAAGAACACATTTCTGCCACCATTTATCTCTCAAAATTTCTGTGCTTTTCTTGGAATCCTCTTGGTATTTTGCGTGTCACTCTATTCATAATTCAAATAAAAGGCTACTCTTGAAAGAGGCTAGTAGTTACTGGCAGGAGGACGTTGAAAAATTGACTTTGAAGGATCCCCTTTTACAGGGAGCCATACTTTGATTGAAATCTAAGTGAAATCAGAGACAAAGAAAGACACTTTACCTGTGTTTTGCCTTTTTGCGGGTGCTGAAAAATGTGCCTAAATATCAAACTTTGGCACCTAAGAAAGTTGACGCAACCTGTTGTTTTGCTCAAACTCACAATTGTTAAGCAGCAGATGCAGATGGTGCGTATACAAGAAGTTAATTTGGCTTTCAAAAAATTGGACTTCTGGCCAAGGTGGCTCCTAAAATTTTAGGAGGAAGCTTTATCACTGTCCTCTACTAGTATCTTGTCAATGGTGACTCCTGATTGAATTTTCATGATTCCAATTCTCAATTGTCAACCTACCTTCCAGTTGGCACTTGAATGAGATATGGAGGAACTGGTTCAGCAAACAAGTGGATGTTCCGTAAAGTTTAGTTCATTGCATCAAGCAACTAAGTGGTGATCAACAGCTAATAAATTAATAGAATAGTGTCCATAAGGAAATGTTGAATCCCCAAAAGTAAAAGTTTCCATCTGTCGCCAAGCAAACAGTGGATGGTCTCTATTTTTCCCTAGGTGGCACACTGTGTGATCTCCTCTCATCAGTGACCTGACTTGAACTGTGATTTAACATTTTCCCTGTCCTATTTCAGACGTCTGGAAGGAATACAATGACTGAACTAGAAAAACGAGAAAGGAGAACGATGGAACGAAAACTTTCAGAAATGGAAGAAGAACTTAAGGTGAGAATTTTCCTATTTTTTACCCTCTTTTCTCTGTCAGTTGGATCGGCGCCAGTCTATGTCACTTTTCAGTTCTCTTATTTTTAAAGTTGGGCGGGTGTATTGCTGGTGAGCCAGCAAGTAGCTCTTAACCTCTCCGATGCATTATATTATGAGTTCCTATTACATTTCAAACATTTTCCTCCCCTTCTATTTCATAAAAGATTTTTAATGGTAAGTATTGAAAGGTTTAACCGGTCTCTTAATCTTACACCAACTGATTACTTAAAGTGAGACCAATGAGTAAAATTAAACTAAGCTAATAGGCTCCTTGAAAAAACATTTTTCGTTAATGACCAAACAGTTTAAAATTTTGCTACTTGATTTCATATTCCTGTATTTGGACTTATATTATGACAAAGTCTCATTCCTAAAATTGACAATACTTTACTGTTGAGCCCATTGTATCAAGTGATTTGACTAAGATCTTTTCATCCTTTTGAATCAACAGAGGAGAATGTTCAAATGGGAAAACGAAAATCAATTCCACAAGAAAAGCTAAACTGACTTGTGTGCATGAGAGTATCTGATTACCAATTTAAAGTTACTGATGAAAGTATCTTTGCTTTAAATTTTCTATCAAGTTTTCCTCCTATCTTGGTTTTTGTTTGTATCAAAAGCTAAAATGTTTTCTGCAGAAACTGTCCTGACTCAACCAATTCCTTGTTCAACTTTCTTCTTGAACTTTTTTCCCTTATGAAATCGTCTCCTTTTCTCTTATAGCCTGATTTTGAATGAATATTGCATCATGACATTTTTTTATCCCACTGAAATCCCAAGAGAAATTGTGGACGCTTCTCAGTTCTTTTGTTTCAGTTAAATATTAGTGGGAGCAGAATGTTTTGTTTTCCCCGCAGAATGTTGCTAACTTCCCTTGTCCTGTGTAAGTCATAAGGAATAAAAGAGAGGTTGAGGCCTTGGAGACGAATATTGAGGAATCGCAAGTTTCATATTCAGAAGCATTAATTTTACAAAGGAATTTGAATAAAATTTAGATACAAGCAGCATTGAGGTCAAGTTTTACCGCTACTGTTTATTATGGAGCATTGAGGCTTTTTGCTAATCATTCTATGATTCAATCTCCTGGGTTTCGCAAATGGAAAATTTTTATCACAGTACTTAAGGAAACTTTAACCTTAATGATACTGAAAGATAAGATAATACATACCGTAAAGAAACAAATGACACATAGCTCTCTGATTTTTTCCTTATCGAAGAAACGCTATTTTGCTTTCTTGGAGTTTTGCTAGTCCAAGTGCTGCAAGGAGTCCTGTTTTACTTTTTTTCTCTCTCATCTTTTCTTTCCTCCCCTAAATTGATGTTCCTTTTATTAAGAATGTCGTCTTAGGCTCTGTCCACATACGTGTCTTGCAATTAGGTTCAGGAGGTCTGGAACAAAAATCATTAAGTCAGGTTGACAAATTATGAAAAGGGTAGCAATAATTTTTCAAAAGCCTCTCACTTGTAACCTTTTTTCAGCAATTTCAAAAACTTAAAGCTGAGAATGAGAGACTGCGAGCAGAAAACCGAACATTGACTCGGGTTGTGACTAAACTGACAGCCTCTGCAAATGCTCTAAAATAGGTAACCTCTGACCAAACTGTCAAGGAGTGAGCTTGGCTGCTTTTGTCCTGTAAAAAAGTTTTTTGCAGTTGAGAGTGATGTGAAATAACCCAGCAAAAATTTCCAATTTGAATTTTCCCTTTTTTCCTGGTTTGTTTGGCGTTTTTGCTTTGAACTGAACGGTCTGTAAATGTAGAGCTCCAAAGTAAAAACTTGAAACTTTTCAAGTTTTGGGGGAGAAAGCTGCCATTTTAAGCTAGTGGACTGGTCCGAACTGGATTGTTTCTCCTGCAAGTCTCCTCAATATTCCTTGTAGAAAAGTTGCATTCAATAATGTTTTTCTAAGTCAACTTTGAATTTACAGAGTGTCCCAGATCACCCGCATCAGGCTTTTTTCTCGGTTATTTTAGTTGAGGGTTCTAGGGAAAAATAAGGAATTCATCCCAAGAAATCTGAATTTCATCATTCCATCGCTCACCATCAACCACCCCCCCCCCCATCCTTGACTTCATTGAACCTAGAATAGCTTGAACAAAAGCGTGGTACAGGTGATCTGGGACACCTTGTGTTTCAGTAATCAAATTATGGTAAAATCAACAAAATAAAAGGCATACATAAATTAGCATTTCATGTTTTGACGTTGTTCGAACCGAACTGCATCACTATGTTAGCAAGTTGTTTTGTTATTTTAGCATTTCTTTCAGTTGATTCAGCTCTGTGCAGAGTTATTTTGATAATTCCTTTTGTTGATTTTGCTATATTGGGAAAGCGGAAGTAGCCTCTCAGTTCATTTATCTTTTGGGATAGAAAAACTTGTTTAGATAACTAGGCTGTACGGAAATGTTGAAGGAGCAAACTAAAATGCCGAGAAATCTGTGCACAGGGTTAAGTCAGCTGAAGAAAAAGCCATTCTTGCATGAAAGTTTGGTTCGATCAGCACCCAGTGTGAAATGCTAAATTACGGATTGGAAACAATAATTTAACATTCATATACCTATATATACTTGTGCCAAAAAATATTTTTGATACTTACTTCACCACTAACAGTTTTGTGAACAAACCTATTTTTTTAGAGGTCATTCTCAAACTGTTCAACGTATGGATTATTATTTGAGAAAGATTTTATGATGAAACAATAGGAAGAAGTATTTTACCCCTTTTCAAATATTTTAGCATATCTTTTTCTATCCAATAAAAATATGAACAAACTGAGTGGGGTTAATCTGGTCTCAAACTTTTGATGCATCAGAGGTGCGGTTTCAGGTCACCACCTTGACCGGATGACTATCCTCCGTTTGCTTTGCTTCAGTTGTCCTAATAATATCCTAACTGACTTTGTAAACTCGAGTAAGCTTTGATCAATTGATATGAAGAAGTGTTCAAGGAGATGATTTGTTCGCCGCATTGCATGTTTTTTGTCTTTTCATAGCCCTTGCTTCCTAACCAACGCCAGGCAAGTAGGAAGATATTGCTAGTTGGCTCTACATAGCAGTTTATCAGAACTGCCTGTTTTCAAAACTTATCTTTGGCTTTTTCTTACTACTCTCCCTTTGTAAATTCAATCCTCGATTATTTTATCCTACATTATTCAAGTATAAAACAGTTTACCGCTTAGCATCAATTACCACAATACCTTTTCTCAGTCTTTTTGTAGCATAAAACTTGCTTATAAATTGTCCTCAAAAAACTGTCAGTGTCATCTACAGTGGTTCTATTTGAAAAGCGTTGTCCAAATCTGGAAACTTATGATGTTTGCTGCTCTATCCTTTTTAAAACCTTGCTCTTTTTTTCACTATTTCATTTTCTTATATATTTTAACCACCGATTACTTTTCTAACATGTCATTGGTCAAAGTGCCAAAGTGTCTATCTAAATTTCTGAGTTAGACTTGAGGTAGCTGCATCCATGAGCTGTAGGAAATGTCTTATGTGTTCCATTAAAATATTTCATAAGGTGATCAAACTTAGCCTCTAGTTATCTGTAGTTAGCTCTACTACTGTCTTTGCACCATTTGCACCAATGTGAATCAACCTCTTAATCAGAGATTTTTCGGGATTAATAGATGCTTCTAAGTAAATTTATTCTTTGTACTCTACCTGGCTCTTTGCCTGTTCTTGATTTGATTGAATTAGGTGAAAAAACGACTCAGAGCCTTAATGCTAATTTTGCGTATCCTTCCTTACTGCACCTCATGACAGTGAGAATTTGAACATGTTATGTGGCTCAAAATCATTTCATATTATAGAGTCTCTTACTCGGAGGTAAACACAATTTCAAGGAATTACTTTATCAGTTAATAGCTTCAAAAAAAAAAAATTGACTTTCATTTCCTTCCTCTCACTGGGCAAGTGAAGTCACCTAAATAATATTGTAAGTCTATTTTGTGAAGTGAGATATTTAAAGTCATGCCTCATTTTAACAGGGTTCCTTGTCTTCAAATCACAAAACTGTGACATTTTCCTTTGAATTCCACTAAATTGTATCCTTCATCTGTTGTTCCAGCAAATGGAGCTCCTGAAGACCGAGAATCAAAGATTAAAGGACGAAAATGGAGCACTAATCAGAGTGATAAGCAAACTGTCGAAGTGATTCTTGTAAAGGATCAATTTGTGGACAATATTAATGCAACTGAAACTCCAGTATTTTTTACAGTCATTTATAATAGGTTACTGTTAATTATTTATTTTTTATTTTTCATCATAATTTTTATTATCATCATTATTTTTTAATTATACTTTTTAATCACCTGTAATTGTAAAATAGTTTCTATTTTTATCCTTTTTGTTGCTGTAAATGTAGGAAATGCCGTGATTTTTCCTCTCTTCAGGCGGTAGAAGTTAGATTGGAGCTTTACGAATTCAGTCCCTTGTGTTTGTGAATTTTCTTTTAGTACTCTCTTGTTTTAAAATAGGGTCAAAACGCTGCAAACTTCTAATTGCCAGCACAGTTGCCCTTAATGTCAGTTAATATCTCATGTAATCGGACTATGAACAAATCTGTACATACAATGCAACAGAGCTCCATCTCATTTTTTTTTTTTTTTTTTTTTTTTTTTTTTTTAGGTCAGTCCGTTAAATGTTTTTAATTGAAAATTTCCTAAAATGCAATTTGTGCGCCTTCTAGTCTATGGTTTTTTCTTGAAGAGAATACCGATAATTGATGTTAAAATCCAAATTAGGTAACGTTAATTCTAAAGATTCACTCTTCAAAAGAAGTCTTTTCAGCCTCTTTTGTTAGAACTAGTTTTAATTTTGTACGTACTTACTTTTTCAGACAGTTCTATTTCATGTTAAATGTTGGGGATATTTACCATAAAAAATTTAAGTAGTTTGCAGCGGAATATCAAAAAACACCTCATAACCAAATAATAAGTGAGCATTTCTGAACAAGTAGTACCCCATACCATGTGCCCATGTTTTAAAATCTGGCATGAATTCACTTTAAATAGAACCTAGTCCTAAATGCTTGCTTTAGACTCACAGTTGATTATATAGTTTTCATAAGTCAGAACTTGCTCCTGTATCTGAGCTTCCCATTAATACACAATAGCTTTTTTTAATAAGTAGAGAGACAGTGCCTTAAAAAAGGATTTGTCAAAGGCCAGTTTTGATCAATTTAAACTGTAGGTAATCAACTTATCGGGACGTTTGGATAAAAATATGAAAACATGTTTTCTTTAATACAAATGACCTGAAGTAGAATAATTGATGAATGAATTTTTTCTAAAAAAAAAAAAAAAAAATCTCTTTTTTGCTCTTCTCATCTATCAATAGATTTTTTTTTTCATAGACGAAGACAACTCCTACTTTGCTCCATTGATATTCGTGTGAAAGTAGAAATTACAAACGGAATTTGACTCTTGTTAAGTTGCTAGAGAGAAGCTCTGTGGAATACTGGTTTACAAACATGATATTTTTTGACCAACAAAATATCTAGGTGAAATTAAGAAAATGAAGAAAAAAAAAATTCCATCAGCCTTTTGGAGTGTAAGGACTTCTCAGCGAACACTGAAACTGCCCTGCTAATTCAATGATAAGTGATGGTATCTGTATCCTTGATACAACGGTAATAAGCATCTGGTCGACTCATAGACGTAAATTGCTGAAATTATCAATATTAGACAGACTTAAACAGTATGAGAGTCAAAGAAAATTTTCATTCCTAAATTTTATAATGTTAGAATTGTGTGAGAAGCTACCTGTCTTGAAATGTTGTGTTGGTTCAGGGAAGATAGTCTAAGAAATTGTCCTTTATAGTCATCAAGAAAGCTTTCAGAGGAATCTTGTTATCGGTGGTTCTATTAGTGTCAGAACAGTCCAAGAGAATAAAAATTGCATGAAGATCCTGGAGACTCAGTACTTAGTATCACACAGGTTGAAATTAGCAAATCAGGTGTTATTATGGAAATTGATCGCTCTCTTTCTACCAAACAAGTAGCTTATTAACTGTCAGCAGTGCTCATACAATTTTACATTATAACTTGACCTATGTTCACACAAGATGGTTGCCCAAATAGTTAATTTGGAAGCAAATGAAAAGACGAATCTAAATTTTGCACACCATGAGAATAGAGCTTTTTATCTAGATATCAAGAGCTGAAGTGCAAAACCACGTATCTCCATTACGGTGTTTCAAAATTTCCTCTTCTATTTTATTTTTTGGGGGGAAACAAGCCGACATAATAGCTTGAAATTTACACAGAATATTCTGTGTCAAAAAAGTCAAAGAAATTTTCAATGAATTGTGTTGACTAGTTTTTCACAGAACCCACAAAGTATGACAGGAAGTCTGCAACGTTGCTAATAGAGGTATGTGGTTTCGCATTTTGGCCATCGATATGATGATTACTAGAAAAGTATCATCACTGTTGACTGAAGTTAGATGCATCTAAGCTCTTAAAAAGCAGCTCACAATGGGTTCTATGTGGTACCAGCGATACCACTAAAATTTAGAGGCCCAAATCTTACTCTACACATATAAAGTACCATCACAGTAGATCTGATACTTATAATTTTGTACATTTTGGACCGGCGAATCAGAGACAGGAGTCTTCTTACTCACCATATCAGTGATACAGGTATCACTTATCAGGAGGCTCAGTCTATCTTTGTCGAACGGCCTTTGCAAAGAACTGTTTTTTTGTTTCGAAGTGAATGAAATATCTTACGCTATTAGCTTATACTCAAACGAAATTTCGTCCTCTATTCAAACCGTTTGGAAAAAAGTAATAATGCATTTTTTACAGTTTTTGGAAAAATGTGTGTTCCTATTGCTAATTTAACTTCCTAATCAAAAACCTACGTATTTTAAAGGCAGGAAATTCTTGATGTTAATAAAAAAGGAGCCTGGCTTTATTGCTGAAGTAAGCAAAAAGCCTTCTTTCAGACTTAGCAGTATTATTTTTTTAGTGCTTCAAAAGTTCAAGCTTTAGTTGTAATTAAATTCTACTTAATACTTAATATTTTAATCTCTCGGCTGAGAGAGTTTCATGTAATGTAAATTTGGTTTTATCAAGTAGTTGTGAACTCTGCAAAAGGAATTTTTTTATATATTTTTAAGTAGTGCTTTGTTCAATATGATATCGAAGTTTTAGAAAAGGAAATCCTTTGATTGGATTACTGAAGTGGAGACTTTTTATAATTTACTTAAGTTTCTCATCTGGTTGGATAGGATGAAGAAGAACCACAAATCTAAATAGATAAGAACAGAACTGTTCTGTAGGTATGTCTTTTTGATACATGACATGTATGATAAAAGAAACATTTGATCACTGTAGACATTGCAAAATGTTGCCTTCTGAGTCTATTTGTGGAAACCTATTGCCACTACCACTTTTTTCCATGAAATACCAAACAAATTTGCAGAAATTAATACCTTCTCAGGTGCTGATGCAGTCGCCTCACAGCTTGGATAACATGATTTTTAGATTCTTCTCTTTGTATATAGAGTACAAAGTCAAATTTTCAAAGTAATAAGTTTGTGATTAGTGTCTCTGGATAAAACTTTAATTTTGAGAAGCTAAGAATGTTATTTCACTTAAGCCCGGTTTTAACACCTCTCAATATGGTTTACCTTCTCGGTAAAATTCATAAACTGCGATGAGTATCTGTTAAAATTTTAACCAGCAGTCAAGATTGTTTGTTCAAAATGCCTTACAAGAGTCAGCAATATCATCCGGACTGTAAAACTGGATTTAAAATTTTATTTTGTCAAGCTCAAGAGAGTAAAATTGTCAAAATTTAATGTGTTAACGTAGTCACATTTGTGGGAAGCTAAAATTGAAACCTCTGATTGTCAAGTATCATCTCGGTCAGAAATTGTTGTATGGAATCTTTTGAACATATAATAATTGCTACTAATAAAATTGGACCAGGTTTAGCAAAAAGAAACCAAGTCACATCAGCTATTGCCAAATTTAAGTGGGAAATTTAATTTTTTACAAGAGAACGTTTGTACGGATTCCTTGGAAAATGTTTAGGAGCTATTGCCAAATTTAAGTGGGAATTTTAATTTTTTACAAGAGAACGTTTGTGCAAATTCCTTTGAAAATGTTTAGGAGTTTGCTTCGTACTATGTAGAAAATTCACTGAAATTTGCACAAAAATCCGCACAACCGTTTTTATGTAAAAAATTAAATCGGCCGATTAAATTTGGCAATAGCTGATGTGGCTTGGTTCCTTTCTGCTTAACGCGGTCCAATTATTTCAATGTCCATTCGTTAAAACAAAATTCACCATTCAAAAGCCTAGAAACCAAAACTTATCAGCTCAATACTAAGTAATTTTTTTAAATTTGGAAGAATCTACTGGTTTTTCCAGACATTTTTTTTCTTTTTTTCTTATACTTATCTCTATTATATTTGTGGGATTTTTGCACCCATTCTTGTGAGGGAGTGGCTTACTGCTATTTTTTCTTGTATACCTTTTTTTATGCGAAACTTCGAATTTATGTCATTCTGTTTGGCTTGGTTGAACAAAGTATACAGAATTTTGTGTAGGGGGACAGTCCAATAGGTACACTCAAGTACGATACATGATATATACTACTCTTGGTGTGTTTTTCAGAGTAATACTGAATTCATATAAAGTTCCAGTATTATATGCATTAAAATAATTTCGATTTTCTTAGTTCCAAAGCCAGGCTCACTATATTAGTGATGATCATTGCAGGTTGGTCTATCAGGAGTCTGAAATTAATTTTTAATCTATATTTTTCTGTCAGTGCAAATGAACCATCACACTGTCCATTGTGTGTATTCCTTAAAAATGTCAAGGCCAGCTCTGCTCATAAATGAATTTTACATTTTTAGTAAAATCCAGCAGCAGAGTGTTAAACTAATCAGACAGTGTTAATCATAAAGGAACCAAAATTGTTGGTTCATTTCAAAAATGATGCATCTCCTCTTAATTCTCTTATACATTCAGGTGCTTTTATGGACGTATGTTCACATTTGTTTCCTTTTCATCAGTCCATTATCCAAATTTAACCAATAAAATAATCTGAACCAATTTTTTTTCAGCTGATGATGTATTTTGGAAAACAATTTTTGAAAAAGTATAACACTTGTTTATGACTGTTCATGGGCAAAATATGCTTATTGCTCAGATATATGCTATACTCTGGATATTTTAGAAACTTCTACTGGTTTTTGTGTATGCTTTTTTATGATCAAAATGTACTTATCGCATTCTGCAAGGTTTCTGACTTACATTTCAGACGAGCTTTTGCTTTAACAGTGTAATTTTTTAGGCTTTTGAACTTCAAGTTCATTTGCAGCGTTAAAATTACTCTACTTGTGGATTTTTCAATTAGGACCACTAATTTTTGGTTGATTAGAGAATCTGAAGGCAGAAATAATTTTCTGAAAGACGATTGTCACGAACGAGTTTAATAGAAATCTCTCTACAAACGACCTATAATGAATAATTTCTTAACAGTGGTGCTAAGTAGATTTATGTTGTACTCGAATATGTATATCCTTGTACGGATATCCATTTGGAAGGATCTCTGATGATGGTGGGAACTCATTGCTTTTCTTGATTAACGCCTCTCATCTGGCTGTCCCAATAGTAATTGACCAACTCTCATTGATCTGTCTGTACAACATTCTGTAATAAAACCAGCCTAAATTGAAAAAATTCTGGACGTCTGATAGCTCTTCCCCTTGTAGTTCTTAGTGGTAAGTCCGAAAATGAGTTCAACTTTATTCCTAAACTTACCAATTTTCCAGAACGTAGAGACTTATCTACAGAAAGTGACTTTTACCGAAAAAAATAAATTAGATTTTCCAGAATATTGGTGTGTAATACTGGAAAACAAATGTCATTTACAAAATCAGCAGCCAAAGATAAAGATACATAGGCAATCATGGATTGCATGCCTAACATATGCTCCCTGCTGTTTCCAATAATAGGTGTTCATGGATTTAATATCATAATCAGTTCTTTTTTCAGAAGAAGCTTGATTTGTCAGATTTTGCCAGGTTTTGGAGAAAAACCAAAGCCCCATTTAGACTCTAAGCTACAAATTACCAGGGAATGCTTTTTCTAAATAAAACCAATTTTTACAAACCTGCGAAATGTTCCCACTCGTTTTTAAGAAGCTCCATTTAATTATCTTTATACCCTGTAAGTTAAGAAACTCATTAAAAAAAGAAAATAATTGTTTGCCTTGATTATGGTCAGTTATCAATAGACAGTTTTCCACCTCCTCAACTAAGAGGGGAAGAACTTGCGGCTTGATTGTTTAAAGAATCTCATTGTTGTGTGTAATGTAAAAAGCAATCACTTCTTGTATAGCCTCAAGTAAATGCCTTTATACTTCATTTTGTCTTTTTCTCTTCTTTTGGAGTCAAGCAGTCTTATGATCGTTTCGACTACTTTTGTTGTAATTACAGGTTTGACTGATGTCTGTTACAATCAGGCTTTTAGAGCTGTTTTAATTGTTATTTTTTGAATAAGCTTTTGGAAGTTAAAAAGATTTTTAATTGTTTCGAATAACAAATATACATTGATTATAAAAATTGCTCTCTCTTTTACTTTCCAATTCTTTAACGTATTTATGCTATGAGGAATTATGTTGCACGCAATCCCTACGCACGCAGTTCTTTTTGGAATAAATATGTATAGTTGATACTTTGAGGGAAAACCATGGTATACTAATGTTGTAGATGGTGGTAAAGTGGGTGACCCATAAATCGTAGAATACCCCTGTAACTTTGGAGGAATCTGTTTGAAAAACACACATATCAGCGGTGAGAACTCCGAACCATGTATCTCGGTTTTGAAGTTGCAGAACAACTGTCATTCTTTATTTTTCAACTGAAAATTACCTTGCGGCAATTCTTTAGTTTTAAGCTGACGTGATTTTTCTTCTCGGTGCGAAAATAAATCAAAGGAAACTTCAAAGAATGATGATTTATTTGCCTTTAAAAAAATCAAATAGGAACGTAGGTTATAAAACATCGCAAACGAGATACATTGTTTGGGAGTTTCACCGTTGAATATACCTTGTTCCTTAAACTTCGATTAAGCCAATCAAGAATTCGTGAATCTATTACCTATCGCTATATATGTACCGTCAATCAGCTCGAGATTTGCCTTTAATTTCACCGCATAAACAACAAACATCCTGGTGAGTACAAAAGATTATCCGCTTAAAATTAACACATACGTATGGCCACAGTGCGAAACCCTGTATCCCCATTCGTCACGTTGCAGTCTTCCTATCATACTTAAGTTTTTCTTTGGACAACGAGTCAACAATATTTTTTGATACCTTCCTTGATTTTTCATCATCACCAGCAGAATGCTCTGTACCTTCAGTCCATAAAGTTGACTTGTTTCTCTTTGAAAAAATCAAATGGGATCTGAAATTCTGAAACACCATGCTGGAGGTACATGGTTTCACATTTCGGCCAGCGATATGTAAATCTTGCTCTGTGAACTTCTATAGAGCCAATAGACAAGACATTTATAAAACCTGTCGGCAGATATAGTCAATTTGTAGAACGCATTTCATATCACTGACAGGCCAAACATGTGCTGGGGAGCGAGAATAGTTTACCTACCCCTTTTTTTTTAAAAAAAAACCCCATAAATCTTGCTCCTCAAACTGCGATAAAAGAATACATAAACCTATCCTATTGGTAAATATCATAAACTTTAGATTCCCCTTCAATCTCACCGCTTAGGAAACAAATATTCTGTCAGCTCAATTTTTTTCTCAGGCAGGGAGTAACATGAGTATTATTTTAGGACCGTTAAATTTTCTTCATTTTAAGACTGTTGGGCCCCTCTTCCCCTCTTTTGAGGCCTTGGGGGCCTGTTGATAAATTCAATTACTACAGTTTCGATTATATTTGGATATTCGTGGCTTCCCATGTAGCAGTCATCGCGATAAATTGCGATTTAATCAGAGATAGTATCGCAATTTTATCGATTTCGATTATTGCAGTATTATCGGGTAAATACTTGCGATGAATTGCAGTGTCGTGGCATAAATTTGAAAAAAAAGCGCGATTTTATCGACGGCCATTTATCGCAGTATTATCGAACAAAAAATTTTGATAAATTGAGATCAAATTTCGATTTTATCCAACGCCATTTTATTTAGAGAAAATTGCGACAAGATTGAGGATAATCGCTCAGATGTTGACGGTCCCAGTTATTTAATCGCCAAATAATCGTTAAAAAATCGCAACCTTATTTCAAAATATCGCTATTTTTCCGTTTTAAAATGCAAATTGGGTTCTTCGTCGCCGTTGAATCCTTTGGAACCCCGTTAACACCACTAAATTTTTTAATTGTATGAGTTCTTACGGACCCAAAAAAAGTAGCGAGCCCAACCAGGGCCGGATCTACTTACTTGCCGCCCATGGGCCGCCTGTATTTTGCTGCCCCCTTCTCATTCGTTTTGAAGCATCAATAAAAACCATAAGTGAACGTGCTGGAGGAGGAGGGGTGCATAAGATGCGTTTACTCGTGTTGGACACATTTTTTGCGAAAGCCCTGTCAACGCTACTGGCAAAAGTTCACGAAACTTGGCGCAAAAGTTAAGTTCCGTAAACCTATCTCTGTGCGGACAAGGCCTTCCATTTATATGAAATGAAATAAAAAATTTTGAAAGAACAAACATAAATGTGGTTCAATAATTTTAACCTCCGCCGCCGCGCCGCGCTGACCGCACTGTGCTTGGCGCAATGCGTGAAGTATTCATGCAGTCTTGTAGGCACTAAGCGTTTCACGCCGCCCGCCGCTGACCGCACTGTCTTTGACGCAATGCGTGAAGTATTCATGCAGTCTTGTAGGCGCTAATATGTGTTACATGCCGACTGCCGCCGCGCCGGAGGGTTTCTCCTTTTCATCTCAAGTTCTCATCATCATTGCTCCCTGCGCCGCACCGTTCCAAGCCGAATTCGGTGTTCGGTTTCTCTCTTAGTCTTAACTCGACTAAGTAAAGGTGCTGTCTATTGTATCACAGATAGACGACAAAATTAGAGATATACTCTCCGGAAATGAGAGACTTTGTCACCTTTTCTCATTTGTAATTTTTTTAAGATAATTTTTTTGTAAGATACATGGTTTGGGAATTTCACCGTCGACCTCGTCGACCCACGAGAGTAGCTTTCATAGCGCTCTGTATGCTCTGCGACACCTAATCACCACAGTACTCGGTCCTCCCACAACCCGTCAGGGTGTTGGCAATCCCTCATTTCATTATTTAAAACCCCCTGTCGCCACCCTTTCACCGGGCGTCCCCTTCGTCTCCTCTCAGGAGGAACCCAATCAAACCTCTTCTTCGGCAGCCTCTCTTATTTTGATGTTATGAATCCTAAATCAGGATAAGAATCCCGACTTTCAAGGACATGCTACTCTTTCTCCCTCCCCCTGTATCCGCCGCATACTGGCCGTTCACGTAAATCAGTGCGAGAGCACCTCGAGGAGTCCTGCAGGAACTCTGTAGGGTAAGTCGCCGGCTGCCGGTTTTTTGGGCAACCGGTGATTTTTCCATTAAGTATTCCTCGTCGGAGGAGCGAGAGTGTCGGAGGTGGGAGGAGTGGCGACCATGCCGACCAGTTGCTGCTTCTCCCTTCCGCAGTACGTCTCTCGCTCCGCGCGCGGGCGCTCTCCAGTAGCGACTTATCTCGACGCTCTTATCACCTTGTTTATCTTTTTATCACGTGTGTAATAATCATTGCTTGTCCCATTTACTCGTCGGTGATTGTTGTTCCTGGGTGAACCTTTTACAGGAGTTCGATTTACCTTGAGATTCAGGTAAGCAATTCGAACTCTTCTCGCTTGCTCTCCTGTTCGGAAATCCAAAAATATTATCTGAATCCTCTCTATCGGCATCGTTTCTCATTCGTCAGCGGTTAAATCACTTTTTGTTGTTATAAAAGCCGCCTTTTCTTTCTCACTGAGCCTCCGTAATGGAAGTTAATTATTTTTGTAGCCTTCAGTGAAAGTGGACAAGCTAGGTACTTACTTAGGGATACTCATGGAACTGTATTCTTAAAATGGTAAAAAATAAAGTTCCTAACTTATAACTGAGTGACGTTGCTTAAAATTTAACTATGTAGGTTCTCACTCAACTATATTATCTGCAGGCATTCGTACGGTGGTTTGGTTTGTATTCACACGGAGGAAATATATGCACCCAGATCTCACATCTGCCCGCAAAGGCCTGACTTCGTCATTTTGGGGCCCATATTATACTTGAGAGCTTTTCCCAAACAAGTGATGCATTTGTCATGGAAACTAAATCGAACGGTTAATATTCTGTATTCTTTTTTTTATGGGTTTTTAAATTGTATTACGTATTTTATAAAAAACCCAATTGAGTAAACATAAAAATAAAAATAGCGTTTTTCGGTACGCTGTAGAAAAACATGCAACCATGTAGAACGTCTCGATCCACACACGACGGTTGTAGTGGAAGCTATCGGCCATTTATCTGCTGCGTCCAGTACAACTTAATTAGCGCCTGAGACATCAAGACTGCTTCGATAGCTGCGATTGGTTTTTCATTGACAACACCATTCCAGTCATCACTCGTTGTGAAAGACATACGTCGCGTCGCGTCGCGTCGGATAATGTCCCAAGTTTTAGAGGTCAGAATAGGTACCTACCGTCATAGATTAAGTATGACCACTGATGTCTCCCCTCGAGATTGATTCAGCCATCTTAGGAAAAAAATTTGTATTGGGAACTTAGAAGATCTCCGAGGATATCCCTCTAAACTTGCAAAGGTAAGAAATGATTCAGGGCTGGATTGGGGGTGGCGCATCAGGAGTGCTTGCACTAGGCGTCATCCTAACAGGGGTGCTGAAATGAGAACAGAGAAAAAATAAAACGGAACACAATAGCTAGAGCGTGGAATTAATAGGAAAAAAGAGTTTCACTAAAGTTAGCTTACAATTGCTTTAGGGTTTGCGGTTTACCTCTTGCCCAAGCAGCAGTCATCGCGATAAGTTACGATACGATCGGAGAATGTATCGCGATTTTATCGACATTTATTTATTGAATCTTTATGTGAATCTATTGATAGATATTGTCCCATTGAAAGTTCGCCTTCAATTTCGCTGTCTAGGCAACAGACATACTGGAAAGCGCGAATAGTTACCTATTCTTAAAACATGCACATATCAAGCTCCTTAAAATTCGATAAAACCAATGAAAAATTGAACATATTGACAGATATCGTCAACTTTAGGTTCGCCTTCAATGTCGTCGTTTAGGCGACAAATATAGCGGGGAGCACGAATAACCTATCCCCCCCTATCCCTATCCTTCCTATCTGTTCGCTCGAACATGTTTAGAGAAGCATATTTTTATTGCGCCCACCTGAATTCTATGGCTCCGTTGTGAGGATACATGTGAAAGAAAAAAATACACCGAATATGTTACATTTTTTATTTCAGTATCTTATCAGATTCTTACGATTAAAAGCCCTAGAGGTTTTTCAAATCCGGCCATAAAGGCCGCGAAAGTTGACGCACATTTTCAACTTTATTCCTCTCGGGAAACGGTGTAGCTTTCCCCCGCTCATTGGCTTTTCTCTGCCACAGCTGACGACATATTATTTGTTTATGCACTCTCGCTATCATTCTATTATCAGCTGCGTTTATTTTTGGATTTCGTTTTACGAGAAGTGGGGAGTCGTAGGTTAAGTGGGAGGGGGGGGGTCTAGTGACTCCTGACCCCCGTTAATTGGCCGAAGGGCAGACGTATAATTGGATGAGCCAGCCCTATGAACTACTTAAGTGTACCTACCGTGTTTCAGTGTCTAGAGAGGAAAAAGAAAAAGAAGAAGAAACGAATCATTGGAAAGTTACCAATACAATATTGAGTGTTCGAAGGTATACAGTATCAGAATGAGTAACCGACATACTGTGTCAAATTGGAAGGAATAACGTAGAGGAAACTGAGCGTACGATTAATATTGTATAGTTTTTCCTCGAGCTATATTTTGACCAACTCTTTGGGTTGAAAATTTGCAGTCTCATTAAAAATCAGACGTGAGCCACTACGATATATAGAACCTGGATAGGACTAGTGCGTGTCCAGTGCGCTAGCCTCTTGCGAGTGGCAACCTCGGAGTGACATGGAGAGAATCAAAAACACAATATTTCAACAGGAAATTTTCTTCATCCCCAGATGGCTAAGAGTAACCTACAGTTTTGGTCGATTGAACCAAGAAATTTGGTCGGTCAACCATGTCCTTTTGGTTGACCTAACCGAAAAAAGTAACTCCAAGTAATCCAAAGTACCCATAAACACGGACAGTTTTAACTGTGCACATAGTTTTTATCTTCATTCAAGGTGGTTCCATCACAGGGTGTAGAGAATAATTGAAGGGCTAGGAGGACAAGGCGCGTGAGTGAAATTTTTGAGGAAATTGAGATATTATTGATTTCAAGTATAACTAGTCTTAATTCGCATTCTGTGAAAAATTCTCTCCTAAATTTTAATTTTTATGCAGCAAAAAGTCAGTTTGAACTTCCTTTCCACCATAAGGATCCATATAATTTCGAAACCTCAAGCACGTATTTCTCGAAATAGCAAAAATTACACTTATGCGCCTTGTCCTCCAAGCCTCTCAATTGGATTACATTTTGCCATAAGGAATCACTATCTCTGGCTCTCCCAGAAAGCACGTATATGCCTAAGGAATCCAATTTCATATATGCTGTTTCTAAAATGGGCCAGAAATCACAGTGGTTCCTCATTGCAAAATGTAATCCAATTAATCATGCGATCCTTCATATGGGGCCATTCATGGGACCCACATGGAGTTCAGTCGTGAGTAGTAAACGCCGGTAAAGAACCAAAAGTAACCGATTACAAAAAGAAATAAAAATAAAAAAGTAACTTCGGCACGTCTTCGAAACTCCAAACCGACTCTTCGTGTTGTCTTTCAGCCCCATTAGTGTTAAAGAAGGCAAGGGTTTATTGACGAACACTTTGCGTGCGTCTCAACAATCACACGACGGAGAATGCTCAACTGTTCTCCGCCCTAAGTTGGCACTTCACAAATTTACCTAATGCCTTAATTTTCTCAAATCCCCAGCGTTAATTGCATATCATGCGATCCCGACGCAAGCCTCGATTCGATTATATCGCGCGACCCTTCCTTACCGACGCACAGTGGATCGAGTCGATAGGAGAGGTCGGACATAATTTTATTCATGCTCATAAGAAAAAAACTTAAGTCAAACGCATACTGAGCAACCAGTTCAGCTAATCAAACAGTTCTGCTGTTGCATTGCACGTTGTTTACACGGTGAACTACACAGGACGCGACTATTGAGGCGGGCACAGTACGCGCAATGCGTGAAGTATCCACTTAGTGTTGCAGGCACTGACAGAGCGCGCGGTGGAGTACTCGCAATGCGTGAAGTATTCTAGCAGGCTTGCAGGCGCTTACATAAGTTTCGCGCCGGATGCAGTGTTTAGCACGATCATTCAAAATCGCGCAGCGTTTTTCAACTTGTGATTTTGAAGTTTTTTGCACACGTACACTCTGTATGGACCATTTTTGTAAACTTTAAACGCTCATAACTCCGTTTAGACAAACTTTAAGCGTTCCAAAATTGGTTCCATTAATTTTCTCGTGAAATTTTCTTTCAGAAGCACCCCTTATAATTTCAAATATGATGAAATGAACATCAAAATTTGCAGTTTTAGTCAAAAATTTCATGTCTGAGCTCTCTGATTGACTCGATCCATTGTGCAACGCCGAAGTCAGTATCTATATTCCTTCTCATTCGGGATGCATACTCTGTCGAGTGTAGTCTAGCTGAATATTCCGACGGTCCGCACGATTCACGTGTGAAAGTGAAGCGTGAAACTGATGTCAAGTAGTTTTCTATTTAGGAAATAAAGTATGATAGGAAGTCAAGCTGCAAAACTATGGCTTCTTTTGAAGCTGAAAGTATGGCCGTCAAAATTCTTCTTACGGTTTTATTACAACTGTAAAATAAGCATAGAAGAATGATGGCGAAACTTACTATTTGGAAGACCCTCGTGCTTAATCATCGGTGTAAACTTTCAATTTTAGCTTTTAGATCAAGGAGGAACGAGTATTTCCCTCCGTCATAGTTCAAGTTCATCGAACTTCAGGCAGCAGGCGCATTATTCACGTAGCCGAAAAAGTTACCCCGAGTGACTTCAAAATGTGCGCGTCGGAATTCAGTGCTTACTGCATATGTCTAGAAATTTTCCTGAATTACTGGATCCTACGGCGTCTATACACCCAAAATTTGCCTTACATTGGGTAAATTGACTCGAATGAAATGCAATTTGAGGATTCAATGCATCAAAACACTCCGGTTTTCCCCTTCTAATTTTTCTGTTTCCCCGTCGATCAATCGTCTGGTTGCTCATAATCCATGGCATCCCTGGTGAAAATTGGCCATGCAATGGTACCTATTTTGGAACATAGCCCGGCCATAGGATTTATTATAGCCCGCATAGCCCAGCTATATCGGATTTTATACTGTCCCTTCAGCCCTAGCTTTACGAGCAATGAGATATTCTTTGAGAAAATCAGATATCCTATGGCCGGGCTATAACAAATCCTGTAGCCAGACTGCGTTCCAACATACTACTGTACAGACATTTGGACGTATTTCTGCCAAATAGAACTATCTATTATGACGTGAGCTTTGTAATGCATATATTCTTAGGGGGCTCAGGGCTCATGCTTAATGCACATAGTTCCGTTTGGTAGAAATACGTCCAATTTTTGCCAGGTAACCCATTTTTTCTCTCCAGGTATTTGACGATACCTCTCTGTGGCGAGTAGCACCAGGAAACCAGGGAACTACCTGAAATAGGTACCAATGAAGGTTATTCGGACGTATTTCTATCAAACAGAACTATGTGCATTATGACGTAAGTCCTGTTATGCACATATTCTTATGGGTCTGCGGCTCTACCGGCTCATATCTCAATGCACATAGTTCCGTTTGGCAGAAATAAGTCCATTTGTAGTAATCTCCGAAAGGTCCTGCAAGCGAGAGAGTCTTGAAAACTGGGTTATAGAATATATGTATATTCTTCTCAGTAACAGAGGGTTTTAACTCTGTCAAGTTCACCGCGGATGGGACCCGATTCTCATGGGATGCACCAAACCGGTGCGGTGTTTACATCAAGTTTATGATTCAACGTAACACTAACACCACTCTACCTCGTCTTCCACTTTGGAAGGAAGTTGATGGAGGAGGGGCGACCTTGACAGTGTGACGTTGTGAAGTCCATCCGTGCCTTCCCCACTCTCACCATGCCCCCCTGCCCTCCCCCCCCCATTATTAAAGGGGGATAGTCACGCTATAGCCAGCTTTATGAACGCGCGTGTGAGATGTTCTCGTGGCTTTGCCGGACTGGAACTTGGTGCATGATCGATTCATCCGTCCAGAAGCCGAACTTTAAGCTCCTGTAGTTCCCCCGTAATAATTTAATTGATCATCTGATGGATCGTATTCGATAATGGTTCGGTGTACCGTTTGGTTCAAAACAATAGAACATAATCTCAGACAAAAATTTTAGGATTTCAGTAGGAAAATCTGAAAATGAGAAAATTGAGAAATGAGGACCGGCTCTGAAAATGTGGAGAAGCCTTTTTTACACTCATGAAGAAAGCAGGGAAATTTGTCCAGCCTAAGTCCGGTTTTGAAACGATCGATTCATATTAAACAGGATTAGAAAAAATAAACGTAACTCGATCAATTCTATACTCATTTCTGTTTTTTCCCGTGTTTCTTTATCTTACGGAATAAGGTTACTATCTTGGACGTGTGCGATGTGCCATACCAAGAATAATGAAAGTTCAAAATAAGAGGAGAAAAA